CTTTTAGAATAAATGTGTTTTTTTTTTTTTTAAATAATAAGTGTGTTTTTAAAAACACATTTTGCAATTATACATATATGCTCACGAATGTTTGAATTTTATTGTAAAACATGCAAGTCTTTCATAAATTAGCCCTCAGAAGTAAACCATTGTTAGATGTTTGGAAGGCAGCTTCCAGGTTTTTTCTATGCGTGTTTTAAAATAATTTTTCTTACACGATTGGGCTCTTGAATACATTTTAATGAATTAAAGTAAGCTTTGTCAGTGTTACAGACACACACACTGTCTATTGCTGAACTATTTGAAAGTGAATTTTAGTCTTCATTAACAGTTTGTTCCTAAATATTTCAGTATCTACCTCCAAACAAGAATATTCTTTTACATAATCAAAATAGCATTTTCACATCTTAAAAAAATTCAGGGGCTGGGGATGTAGCTCAGTGGTAGAGTACTTTCCTAATGTGAATAACGCCCTGGGTTCAATCCCCAGTGCTGCAAAAAATGAATAAGCGAAAAAATTGAGTATCTAGATTTCCGTTTTCCCAGTTACCCCCCACCACCACCCAAATCTCTTACGGCATTTTTAAAAGTCCAGGTTTACACATTTTTATTTGGTTTTCACTCTCTAGTCCCTTCTAATTTGTTTTTTGCTTGCTTGATTTCATGGCATTGACTTTTTGTTGTTTTTAAAGAGCTTGTTCTTTTCATTTTCTTCAAGAGACCAGTTACCTTATACAATGAACCATACCTGGATATTACTGAGTTTCCTCTTTAGTAAATTCAAAATACCTTAAAATTGCAGGATAAATATTTTTTTCAAATACATGGAACTTTAGCCAAAGTAGATATGTGTTGGGCTAAAAAGGAGGGAAAAAAGAAAAAAACCCTCAAATGGTCTATTGTAGTGGTCTCAGCACCAGGGGACATGTGGCAATGTCTGAAGACATTCATTTTGTCTTGATGGTGGGGGAGTGGTTATTTCTGGCTTCTTGTGGTTAGAGACCAGAGCTGCTAACCATCTCACGATGCCAGGACAGCTCCCAACAGGAAGAATTATCCAGCCCACAATGTTAATAGTGCAGGGGTTGCAACACCCTGCTCCATGTGATGGCATCCCTCAAACCCCAGCATCTATGCTCCCCACACCTGGCCTGGTTACCCTTATACCTGACACACAATTCAATTTGCTTGAGGGGGTTTTTGTTTTGTTTTTTTGCTAGCCCTTCTGCCATCAACCCAGTTTAGAAGCTCCATGGATACCCAGCACCTAGACCAGTGCCTGCGATAGGTACCTAATAAGCATCTGTTGAAGGAGCTAGTGCCCAAGTCACTCAGCATTCCCCACCCAGCCCATTCCTTCCAAGTCCTGCCTGTTCTCCACCCCCCCCCCATAGTTCTTTCCCTCCTTCCTTCTGTAGTTTCAGAGCAGTTGCCCTGGGCCAACTCTCATTTTCGTATTTCTGGCTTGGAATATTGTAACATTCTTACTACAAGAGCCCAGTCCCCAGCGTGAGAGATGGCTACCTCCCATCCCCCTTGCTCCTGGAATAGAAAGCCTTGAACTCTGCCTGGTGCACAGGTTCAGCCGACCCTGTCTGCTGCCCCTCCTGAATCAGGATGAGAAGCAACAGAAGACGTCACTGTCTAACTTGAGCAGGAAAGGACTACCTTGGAAGGATGAAAAGGAGATGTTGTCCCTCGTAATGCAGACCAGAGGCTGGAGAACCAGAGTGAGCACAGCATTGTTGGTTTTTTGTTGTTTTGTTTTTTGTTTTTTTGAGTAAAAGAGTTGGATTTCTTTCTTTTTTTTTCTTCCCACTGCTGTGGCAGGGCCTGGACTGGGCATTGCTGCCTCTGCTTTCATGTTGGCCAAGTTAACTCCCTGTGGTGTGTGGATCTTTCTGTCAGTCTGGTTTTCTATGCCTCCCCTGAGTACAGAAGCAGAGAACAGAGGGTCTTTTCTGTGCCAGAAAAGCAGAAGAAAAAGAAGGGGAGAGGGGGAGAGGGAACGGTGCTGTTTGCTGCTCTTTTATTTCTTGTGAATTTTCTCTTATTAACCAGGTAATAATGCACATTACATTTTCCCTGTTCTGATTATTGGTGTGGTTTCCACCTGGATCCTGAACCTTTTTGCTTTCCGGAATTGGAGGCAGGTGACTGCTGCCTATTAATTCTCACAAGGGAGAAACCCACCCCAAGAAGAGGAACAGGGTCAGGACAGGAAGGAAAAAATAAAACTTGTCCTAAATACCTTCAATGCCGTACCCTTGCCTGTCTGGCTCTCGGTGTCTCTGCACATGCCATTGCCTCTCCCTGGAACTCCTAGCATGCCCTGCTGGCCCCAACCCCATGTGCCTTCCACTCTTGGCAGATATCATGGGATCTCCACGTGTGGTTGGTGATGGGGTAGAGGAGGGTGGGGTGGTAAGGTTGCACTGGGGCTGAGTCTGAGATGGCTGGAGGCTTAGAACAATGTCCTGAGGCCCACTCAGGACCTTTAGTCTTTGATGGGTGATAAGTGCGTCAGTCAGCTTTCCATGGCTGTGACAACACACCAACTTATGAAGACAAACTTATTTTGGCTCATGGTTTCAGAGTCTTAATTTATGGTCACCTTGGACCTGTTTTTTGTACCAGTGGCAAGGTGAAAGAACATCACGGCACGAACCTGTGGTGGAGCAGAGCTGCTCACCTTGTGTGACAGTGCAAGAAAGGTGAAACGATTGGGTTATGAGAGCCATAACCTAATCCGTGTGTTAATCCCCCGATAAGGATTAACTGGTGACTATAGGCAGGTAGGGTGTGGTTGGACGAGGTGGGTGCCTGGGGACGTGCTTTTGGGGTTTATAGCTTGTCCTTATTGGTCAGAGCTCTCTGTGATCCTCATGTTCTGAGCTGCTCTCCTCCACCACACACTTCCACCATGAAGTTCTGCCTCATCAGGCACTGAGGAATGCAGTTGGCTCTCTATGGACTGAGTCCTCTGAAACTGAGCCTCAAAATAAAAATTTCCTCTTCTTATTTTTCTTGTCAGTTCTTTTGGTCACAGTTGTGAAAAAGCTGACTCGGAAGTCCATGGCTGTGGTACTTGGGTATCACTCTTCACAGTAGGGAGTGGCTAATTGTCAGACTGTACTGGGAATAGGGTTTTCCTATACTGACTTGGTTGAGGCTAGAGTTAAGGTCATCCTGGGAGTTGAGTATCCCAGGGATGTATAAAAGGCACCCTGGGGTGGGTTGGGGTTGCTCCTAGCTCAAGTTCACCTTTTCTCGACATGACCCATGCCCAGGCCTCATCTGGAGCTGTGGTTGCAAGATATAATCCCATATCCCTTACCACACTGGAGTGGAAAAAGGATGCCCAAGACCACTAGGGACTTTTGAGAATAATCGGCAGACAAACGTGTGAACTGAGGTCTGTTGGATGAGCCAGGTATCGAAAGATAGTATGCTCTCCTGTTCCCTGCAGGCCTCCTGGGCTCCAATCCCTCCTGAGACCCATTGCATCTTCTATTTGGATCACTGTTCTACCAGGTTCACATTTCCCTTTTTGTTTTAGCTACTGAGTTGATGACTATTAAATGACCAAAAGGGTCCTAGGTATTGGAGTTGACATGTGGGTCCTTTTGAGTACCAAGTTGACTCCTAGTTTGGGGAACCAGGTGCAGGCTGGCTTTGGTTTTCCATGTGGGTTTCCTCTCCTGTGATGGGGTGGGTGGTCAAGGGTGTGTGTGTGAGGAGGTCAGAGCCTCCAGGCTCAGTGCAAAAGCATGGGGACCAGGAGCTGAGCCACCTCCATCCTTCACTCTTTCAGCTGAGGACCAGGGCACTGTGTTCCGTGGTATTACCCAGATTCTCCTAAGTCAGGAGGAGTGGCTGGACTCCTGGAGGTGGGTACATGCTTTGTGCTGAGGCAGCTGGGAGGCTGGGATTGGCCTCCAAGCTCCCTGAGGGAGAGGGGGAGGAAGAGACCCTGCAACAAAGTAGAATAAGGGTAGTAGTATGTGGAGTGGCCTGGTTGTTATTGAGATGCCTGGAATGGGGAGTCCAATAAAAAAAGTGCTATCACCAGAGTGATGTCACTTTGTAGCTAGGTAGATCAGAATGCCAGTCTTCACTGTCACTTACTAGTGTGTGATCCTGGGTAAGTCATTTAACCTCTGTGAACACCAGTGTCATCAAGAAAACACTCTTTGTCACAAGCCACGTGGGATGGAACTTGCAAAAGTGTAGTGCTCAGCACCAGGGACCCACCTCCTTCGTGCTACATGCTTGGTCCATAGTGGTAAGTGTCATGACCAGGAAGGCCCAAGAAAGCTGGGTGGGGCTATCCCTGTAGACCAAGGGAAATGCAGACCCCCCAACCTTACTAAGAGATGCATACTGGACAGATACCTCCCTGGAACTGCCCAGGTATAAAGGGAAGGGCCCGGTGACAGTAATTAGAGACACTGACTGGTGTCTAATGGCCAGACCCTATTCTAGGGTTGCTACATGCAATAAGTTCTTCACTACTCCCCACTCTAGTGGTAGATACTGTTTCTAGGACCATTTTACAGATGTGGAAACTGAGGCATAAAGTTACTTGACCCAGGGCACACAGCCAATAAGGGGCAGAGCTGGACAGTCTATCCTGAGTCAAGGCAGGTAATGAACTACAAAAGAATTTCTGGATGGCAGTGACTGGTAGGAGCATGCAGAGCAGGTGTGGATGTGTATTGCTTACTGACATGAGAGTGTGCTCCCAAAGCTGTCAGGTTTTGACTAGGAGATCTTCTCTGTGCCCAGCCCCATACTGTCAGTCCCTCAAAGCTTGCTTTCATTCTTGTTTTTTTTTTTTTTTTCTCTTACCAAGGAACTGTAACAGGTCCCAAATTACAAACCAACTCTCAAAGACATAATAGATATATCTGGGGACTTTCCTGAAGCTCTTCAGGATTCCCCCTTCCCAAGACATTCAGTGGATGATGTATAAGGCCTGGGAGAATTTGGTGACTGCCCTACAAACAGAATCGAGATCTCTTCTTCTTGGTTCCTAAAGCCATGAGACACATCTTGGAGGCCTCTGTGAAGTTTTTCAAATCAGACATGGTCAGCAAGTTCAGGATCCTAATCATTTTTCCCAGAAGGATCTGGACCTTCCGAGCTGTTGTGCCAGGATCTACCTCCAGGATTGTTTTCTCCTTCAGGTCTTGCAGCACCTCTGAGTTTATGAACTGTGGGATTCACAGAAGGCCAGGCGACATTAGTGCCTCTGCAGTCCTGCCACCCCCTTGGAACCTCCACCCTCGGGACTGATCTATCTCCCCAGTACTGCCACCCGTGGCCTTTCTGATGTTCACCAAACACACTCACTTGGCCTGTGCCTATGGCCACTTGGACCATGGTGATGCGGGTGGCAACCACATGTCAGCCTGACCCCAAACCAGAGAGAAACCAGCTCTTGTGCCCTGGACTGGCCTGCCTTCCAAAGGCTGCACTCTCCAGGGCCAGTGTCTGCCAGTGAGCCCGACTCCACCACAGGCTCACTGGGAGTGTATCCGGGTTTTGTTGGAATGAGGCCTTGCCCCAGTGAGGACACTTCAGTGTCCATTTCTGCCTTGGGTTGTGGCTTGTCGAAAGCTGATAAAGAGACTCCCGGAGGGAGAATAACACCAATATGTTCTACTTCTATGAGGCTGATGAAATGTTTTCATGCAAAGTGTCTTACTTAAGCCATATAACAACCTGCGTCTCTTCAGAAGACGGTGGGCTCAGACAGGAAGCTAACATCAGCCAGGAAGTAGAGAGGTGGGTGTAGAAGGGCAAGTTCTTCTTAGGGCCTCCTGGCTGCCCAACTTGGGCCCCAGCTCTGTCTCCTTCCTTTTGCTCTAACAAGTTACATTTGTGCTGACTTGCTTCTTCTGCACCCCTCCACTGGGGCAGCTCCCCAAGGGTACCCCAGCTCCCTGGGCCTGTTAGGCCTCCCAGTCTCCACCCTTTCTGGTTAGTCCTCCTTCATGGCTCTCTTCCCTCAGGGAAACCCACCACCATTTGAAGGCCTTCATGCCCTCTCCAGCCTGGGGTGGCTCTTCTTCAGCTTGCAGCTACTGTGCAATGGATGTGAGTGGGTGACCCAGGACAGCAGCGCTGGCCTCCTCTTTTGGGGGGAGGCTGCTCAGGGGAATCCAGAATAGGCAAGGATGTTGTGACATCATTACTTAGCCTGCAAAATGGCGGGCTCTGCCAGGAAGGGAACCGGGTTGACCAGCTGGCCAGGCCTGTTTGGAACTTTGCCAGTTTTAGCACTCAAAGTCTAATGTCCTGGGAAACTCCTTGGTCCTGACAAATGGGTGACTGGTCACCCTAAACCTACCATGTTCCCTCCTTTCCTCTCAAATTATATTTGGGCAGTTTAAATTTGCTACAGTCTGCTGTTGGGCTGCTTTTCCATCTGCTTCACCTCCAAGGAGACATGTCTGTCTCTCTATCTCCCTGGGGATTGGACTTCTGGAGGCCTGTGTGCCTCCCCGGTGGGATCTGTGAACAGAGCCCTCCATGTGGAATGGGGAAGGGGAGCTGGAGCAAGAACAGGGTCTTGTTAAGATCTCACTGGAGGTACTAAGGACCCCCTTATTCCCCTGATGCCTCTAGTCCTCAGAAAGGATCTCAAGAGCCCATCTTCTACAGTTAGAAATCCAGGGGACTAGACTCACCATTTATGGGGGGCTTAATTACATCATCCCAAAAGATCCGCCCAAGACCTAATCCCTTGCTCCCACACCTGTGAATGTAGCCTTGTTTAGAAATACCGTATTTTACTATTATATCCTGAGTAATTAAGGATCTTGGGGTGGAATTTTCCTGGATTTAGGATGGGTCCTAATTGCAATGACTGCTGTCCACATAAGAGAAAGGAGAAGAGATCTTTTCACACAGACACACAGAGGGGATGGCGGGTGAGGATGGAGTCAGAGGATGCAGCCACAAGTGAACACCAGGAGTCCCCAGCAGCTAGAGAAACACAAGAGCATCCTCCATCAAAGCCTTTGGACATTGGTGCCCCCACTGACATCCTCATGTTCCACTTTTATCCCCCAGAACTGAGAGACAATAAGCTTTTGGAGTTTTAAGTTTCCCAATTTGTGTCACTCATCCAGCAGCTCTGGGAGAGAGTAAACCACCGCTGCTTTCCTGCCTGGCCTGCGAGGGCGCGACAGACTTTCAGGTGACCATTTGTTTTGGGGCGAGTGTGTTGGGGGAGGAGAGAACAGACCCCCCTTGTCTCTGGCCCTGCCATCTGACTGGGCTGCTGGGAGCGTCGAGTGAGGTGATGCCTCCTGACATCTTGTTTTCTCAGTGGGTTCTTGAGAGGTTGGTTTCCGCCCTTCTCACGCTCATGGTGCTGGAAAATTATCAGAGAAGCGTGTGCATATGGGTAAGCACCAGGTGAGTGAGGGTGGCCGTGTCTTTCTATGGGTTAGTGTGACACAGAGGTGGCCCTGAGGCCCATGGCACGGCCAGGCCAAGCCAGCTGCAGCCTGTGTGCAGGTAGAAAAACCACCCAACAGAGGGTGGGGGCAGTGGAGAACTTACCTTGAACTTGGTGCCCAGGTTTAAACGAAACTGCTTCTGTCGGTGGAGAAAGCTGAAGATGATCTTGTCCTGGCTTCTTATGTGCACCTGGATGTAGCTGTTGATTTTCAAGGAGATGGGCTGGAAAGGGGGCACGTGGACGTGGACCTGTAGATTCCACCAGTTCCAGGCCTTCTGGTTTTTGCCCTTGGGGAAGTAGTAGCCCAGGCTGTTGCTCAGGCTTGACCTAGAGGAGAAGGTGCATCAGGAGCTGCAGCCAAGCCCTGCAGACCGGGGAACGGCCCCCCTGTGCGAGAGCAGGGCTCGGCCCCTCTCTTCCTCTCTCTCCTGCCTTTTCCCTTTCTTCCTGGGCCACAGAAATGCCCACAGGGTCTTGGCGGGCAGGAGAGGGTCCAACAAATAAAGACCCAAGAGCAGGAGCTGCCATCAGCCCTCGCATACCCTCTGCTCAGCCTTGCTTGGTGGCTCTTGCCCCCTGCCTTTGGACAATGGTGACCGACATTTCTTCCAGGGCCCCCTGCACCCTTTATCTCCTTCCACACTCTTCTCTCCGGAAAGCTCTCCCACCTTACACAACACAGCTGGCACTGCTCACTAAGTCTCAGCTGGACCAGCCCCTCCGGTTCTCTCCAGGACTCTCCAGGCCCACCCCTTGTCAGTTTCCTGCATAGTTTCTGTTCTCACTGTTCATGGTAGTTATGTTCTGTAAAGTCACTGATTTAGGAAATACTGGACCCATAGCCCCTCAGGAAGACTGTGCTGTACACAAGTAGACACCCACGTATCTACAGGGGACACATGCTGAGATCCCGGGGGACGCCTGGAAATGCAGGTGGCTCCTGAGCCTTGTGCACATTTTTTTCCTATACGTATTTACTGAGGATCAATTTTAATTTATAAATTAGGTATAGTAAGAGATCAACAACAAAAACTAATAATAAAATAGTACAATTAAGACAACTTATTGTAATAAGTTATGTGAATGTGATCTCTCTCTCTCTCTCTCTCTCTCTCAAAATATCATATTATACTATACTCACCCTCTTCTCCTCCATGGTTGACTGCAACTGCAGAAAGCGAAACTGCAGAGAAGGGGGCTCTACTGTACACACCCCCCTCACGAAACATGATATCGTAGATCCTAAAAACAACCCATCCTGCAAAATTCTGTTTTCTTTATTTTACTAAAAGAAAACAAGGCTGGGAAACGTCAAGTGATTTGTCTGAGGCCACTCCACTAACTAGGGTCAGAGCTGAGCCACACCCTGGCCACTGGCCCAGGAGCTGGAGGTTCCTGGACCGTCGTGCTGCCCTGCTCCCATTTTCTGTGCCCTCTGGTCATTTCTGGGTGAAAACTGAGACGAGGAGGCAGAGTGACCCCCACCCACCCACTCACTTTAGCTGAGAACGTGCACATTCAGCAACTCAAATTTTCTGCAGCTCTGCATGCCCTTGACCATGTGACGTGTGTATAAGCACATATTGTCCCAAGGAACGATAGGGTCTATTGGCTAATTCAGTACTTAGTGACTTTATGGACCCAAACTGCCACAAATAGTAAATGTAACCTCCTGAAGGGTGGGGACCCTGCTGAATTCTCACTGCCCAGCCCTATGCAAGCACATACATGGATAGGTGTCAAATGAGTGGATGTTGCGTTGGAGGGTGGGTTGGAGGTGGGTTCCCCCCTCACCCATCCTTACTCTCTAGGGACTGCCTAACTTTCAAACCATCCTTTCTTGACCTTTCAGCCTAACCTCCCTCCTCCTCCAATATTCTTCTTGTTCTGCCTTTTGCTTTTTGAACCTCACCAGGGCTGTCCCTGGAATCAATGCCATTGGGGCTGCAATATCTCTGAGGAATGGAAGGAAGTGGGAAAGTAATGCCAAGACCCAAGTTAGGAGAAGGTAGATTTTTTGTTCGTTTGTTTTATTTTTAGGACCAGGGATTGAATCCAGGGGTACTTAACCACAGAGCCAAATCTCCAGCCCTCTTTATGTTTTTTATTTAGAGACAGGGTCTGGCTGAGTTGCTTAGGACCTCACTAATTTGCTGAGGCTGGCTTTGCACTTGGGAATCCTCCTGCCTCAGCCTCCCAAGCTGCTGGAATTACAGGTGTGCTCTACCTACCGTGCCCAGTGCCCTTTAATCTTTTAAGGGGCTCCCCAAAGCTCTAGGGTTAGCGACTTTAGGCTAAGACTTCCAGAGACAGATCTAGAACAGCCAGAGGTGGTCAGAATTTGGATGCTCCTGAAGTGGAGGCCCTGTACCATGGAGAAGGCAGACTATGCCCACATGGACCCTGAGTTTAGGTGGGTCTGTCCCTTTGCTGTTTGGGAACCCTGAAGCCTGGGGGAAGCCTGGTCTGAGACTGGGGACCACGTTGGGGATGGGGCTGGGTTTTAGTTTCCACACACTTGGCAAATCACAGCTCATTTCTTCTACCCTCCCTGAGGAAATGGAAATCAAAAAATGACTCAAGAAGTACTCAGTCCTCAAACAGCTCAGCTCTAGATCCTGCCCTGTGTCCGAGGCACCACAAGAAGTTTCCTTCCAGTGTAAAGGCTACAGAGATGTACAAAAGTCAGAAGATCTTGCTCAAAATCTCCTTGTGACCATGGGACACAGTCCTGCTGAAGAATTCTCTCAGGGGCTGGACCGACTCGCTATGGGCCACGTTTTTCTGTGGTGCAGATGTCCCTAGGAAAGAAACCAGCTTAGAGGGTGGAGGGACCCATTTGGGAAGAGGGTCTGGCCCTGTGGTGTGTCTTTTTGGGGTGATGAGTGGGTGGGGAATAGAGAGTCTGTCTCTCATCTGGAGGCCTGCTGAGGGGCTTAGTGATCCGTCCACCACCAAGACAAAGGGCAAGAACAGTACCAGGAACAACACTGAGGGGCTTCTCCTCGTGTAGGACAGCCAGGAGAAAGAAGGGAGAGGCAGGAGCTACCGGCGAGCAGGCAGAGGAACCAGGCAAGAGTCAAGGGCTTGCTGGGTGTGCTGGATCCTGGCCTGTGGCCCCATGGCCTAGACACTGCAAGCGCCATTTGCCAGTGAGTGCGAAGCCCATTCCTACTCTGACCAGTTAGCTTTGAATGCCAGGAAGCCTCCCAGTTCTTAGCTGCCCTATTTTCTCCTTTGAGGAGGAGCACAGAGTCAGAAGGGGAAGCTGCTGGGATTTCTCCAGCTCTTGGTAGCACTTGAGTGCGGGTTAGCCTGGGTTTCGAAGATCTTTAAAGAGCAAACAGGAAGCAGGTCCCAAGGAGAGAGATGGGAGATGAGGAGTTAGGGATGGCTGGGTGGTGGACTGGCTATGAGGCCAGGGCCTGAGACTTCGGCACCAGGCTCCTCTGGAGAAGGAGGGACTTTAAAGCACTGGCTGCTGCTGTTCCCCCACGAAGTTGAGACCTTGGCAACCATACTCATCTAAGCCCCAGAATCATCTGGAAGCACTTAGAGAGTGCAGACTCCCAGGTCCCACTCCAGACCCACAGAACCAGAATCTTGGGGAGAGGACCTGTCCTGACCCAGCTCTGAATATCATCTGTCCCCTTGGGTTTTGATGGGCTTTGAGGTTCAGAGATAGAGATGTGATCTCTCTTTTATACCTAATTTGATGACTTTAAAAAAATGCTTTTTAAAGGTTGAGTCAAAATGCCATAAAACTTCTTGCCTATAGTTTTATGTATGACATGGGACAAGTGACTTATCATTTTCTGAACCCAAGTTTCTTTTTTATTTGTTAAACAATTATTTTATTTATTTATTTTTATGCAGTGCTAAGGATCAAAACCAGTACCTCACACATGCTAGGCACGTGCTTTGCCATGGAGCTATAGCCCCAGCACTAAGTTTCTTCATTAATATAATAAAAGTAGTTGCTAGATTTCTCCAAGTTCTCTTCTGGTCCTCCAAATGCATGCTGTTAGGGAGAAGAGGCCCAGCTGCACACTGCCAGATACAACCATCACCAGAACTGGGAACTTCAAGAACTAAGTTTGATTCTAATGAAATATTTAGAAGTTGACTTTTTCACTGTGGATTCTGTATGCAACACAATATCTCCAAAGCTGTCAGCAGCTCCTGGACCTGCCACACACCCCCGCCCCCTGTCCCCCCGCCCCGGCACCCCTGAATCATCAGAGGTAATTCATAGAAGGCTCAACTCTTAAGAGGCGTTTAGGACATGAAACTAAGTCTGTGATTGCTTTTAACATTACCCCCACCCCTTGCCAGGAGGCCATGGTGCCACCAGGACCTTGCTCCTTCTCTGAGGGCAGGACCTATTGTATTCATCCCCCGTGTTACCTTTGTCCTGTTCCCAGCACACAGGAGTTTAGAGACAGGGAGTTAGGAGGGTGGTGCAGACTGAGATCAAACTTCCACGGCACTACTACCCTGCGGGCAGGGTACTGGGGACACATGACTCAAGCTTACCAGATAAATCCATTTTCATCATTGAAGGTGGCATGGCCAGAGTTATTGACGAGGGCCCGGATGCTAGCCTCTAGACTGTCTTCCAGAATGATGTATGTGAACTCTTCACCATCTGTGCAGGAGATGAGCAGAGCGAGCCTTCCTGATGGATAGCTGGGCGTTGGTTAAGGCACAAGCAGTCCCTTGGGACCCCCTGGAGGACACAGTCCTCAAACCCTACCCCAGCCCCAAATCAGACATTGTATGTGTCCATATGAGCATGTCTCTGCTCCAGTGGATACTGTATCTGTCCTGTCCCATCAGGAAAGAGAACTTGGAAGATGTTCTCATTGGGGTAGAGAATTAATTTTCCATCACCTTTACGCACCTGGGAAAGAAAAGATGTCTGTGAAAAGCACGCAGGTGCTGACTGTCCTGCTTCGGAGGTCACTAAAGAACTCAGACCCTGCATCTGCTTGCTCTTTGTGTGACCACGTGCTGCTCTGATTGCATGCACACGCACGTGCATGCACACACCCATGCACACCCATACAGACTGAAGTGCTCACTTCACTCACCCCAACGCTTATTGGTCCTTTTTATTTCCTAGCAGCGTGGAACCAAGTCCGACCAGCTGGGCAGCTGATGTAACAGAAATATATTCCCTCACCACCTTGGAGGCCAGAAGTGTGACATCGTGGTGTCCACAGGGTTGCTTCCTCCTGGAGGCTGGTAGGAAGATCCTCTTCCCCACCTTCGACTCTTAGGAATCGATGGCGACTTGACCTTTTGTGGCTTGTCTGTACATCACCCCATCCCTGCATCTTCACTGTGTCTTCTTGGGAGGGCACCAGTGGTGTTGAAGCTGGGGCACACCCTACTATAGCATGACCTCGTTTAATGTCATTAATTACACCCACAAAGACTCCATTTCCAGATACAGCCACATGCTGAGGTGCTGGAGGTTAGGATTTCAACCTGTCTTTTGGGGGGAGGGGGAGGGGGACAATTCAACCCATAATGTTGGTCCATTCAGGTTTTTACAATTTTCTTCTTAGTCTTAGTAAATTATATTTTTTAGGAGATTGTTCATTTTATGCAAAATTTTTTTCATTAAAATTTTGTCATATACTGTTTTTTAAAAATATTCCACTGCCTCTGTTATATCCTCTCCTTCATTCCTTATATTATTTATGCCTTCTCTTTATTTTTTTTCTGTATCAAACTTGTTAGGAACTTTGCCTATTTTATAAATAATATTTTCAAAGAACAAGTGTATGGTTTATTTTATTTTATGGTTTGGGTGTGAGGTGTCCCCCAGAAGCTCACGTATGAGATGATGCAAGAAGATTTGGAGGAGAAATGATTGGGTTCTAGCCTTAACCTAATCAGTGAATTAATCCCTGATGGAATTAACTGGGTGGTAACTGGGGGCAGGTGGGGTGTGGCTGGAGGAAGTGGTTCAGTGGAGGCCTGGCTATGGGGTACATATTTGTATCTGGCAAGTGGAGTCTCTCTCTCTCTTTGCTTTCTAATCACCCTGTGAGCTGCTTCCCTCTGCCACACTCTTCCTCCACGATGTTCTGCCTCATCTTGAGCCCCAAGGAATGGAGCCAGCCTTCTATGGACTAAGACCTCTGAAACCCTGAGCCCTCAAATGAACTTTTCCTCCTCTACAATTGTTCTGGTTGGGTCTTTTAGTCACAGCAGTGAAAAAGCTGACTAAAACATATTGTTTACTATATTATTCTATTGACTTGTTTATTTAATTGTTCTACTGAACAGAATAAACAATTTCTGTTCTTGTTACCAATAAGAACTTTTTGCTGGTCTTCTAGGTTATTCTATTTTATTTCTCTAATTCCTTGAATTGGATGCTGAACATATTGATCTTCATCTTTCTTTTTCTTTATAACCATCCTCCTTATTTACATAAGCAGACGGGACTACGAGGTTCCTCTCAAAATACTGTGTTAACTGTTTCCCAGGAGTGGAGATATCTACCTTTCATTTTTACTCCATTCATAATATTTTCAAATTTCCAATATTATTTTTTAAAAATTCATTTATTTTTTCTTTCAATATGAGTTGTTCCTTTGTACACAAGTTACTTATGAGTGGTACTACATTTGCCAATGTATAGAGTGCCTTTGTTTACATTGTTAGCATTACTAATTAAAATGCATTAGGGAGAGAGTCTGTGATGTGGTATCAGCTCTTTAGTGTCTGCTGAGGTTTGCTTTGTGTGTGATCGACTGTTGGGAAGGATGTGTGTCCTCCATTGGAGTGTAGGAAGAATATGGAGTGAGCTAGGCTAGCTGGAGTAAGAGAGCAAGTCAGTTTTCTTTAATTCATTAGATGAGGAAGCTGAAGACTTTATGTCAGGGCTCCCAATATCCTCCCCATTGTCCCTTACAACCTGGAGAGTTTGGACTGTTTTATGGACTTCCTCCCTACAGGCAGGCCCAGGAGATAAAGAGTACTGAGCAGCCCGTTCCCTGACAGGAGGCCTGAAGAGTCTGCCCCTTGGTACACAGTGTCCGTTTCCTGTTCTCTTCCACTCTGACACATGGAGGCCACCTCATTACATAAAGGTGGCTGAGTGAGGGTGGCTGATTGCTTTTCCTCTCGGTGCAGCAGGAAGAATATTTCCCAGCTCCTGTGCAGCTAGGTGGGGGTCGTGTGACTTGTTTCGGTCATGGAACTTAAGCCTGGACTCTGGCTTTACTATCCGTCCAGGAAACTGGACCTAAAAACAAAAACAAAAACAAAACAAAAAAACCTCCAAGATAGTGGTGACCCCTGATGAAAGGCCCAGATTCCTGAGACCCACTTTGGAGAAATGTCACTCAAAAGAGCTAATAAGACTGAAAATAAGATATGAAGTAAGCAAGGTATACACATCTGCTTATTAAGCCTCTGAGCTTTGGGAAAGACTGTTAATTTCAGCAGGTGATGATCATTGTCCTGACTGATACAGGCTTTGTGTCCTTGAGACAGTGGCTCAACCCAGTGAGCTGGTGTTATGGTTAACTTCTTTTTATCTTTATTTTTTTGGGTACTGGGGATTGAATTCAGGGGCACTTGACCACCGGGCCACATCCCCAGACCTATTTTGTATTTCATTTAGAAACAGGGTCTCATTGAGTTGCTTAGGACCTCCTTTTCCTGAGGCTGGCTTTGAACTCATGATCCTCCTACCTCAGCCTCTCGAATTGCTGGGATTACAGGTGTGTGCCATGGCACCCAGCTATGGTTAACTTCTTAAATGTCCCCTTTTTGCTCATGTTTTGAAGGCTTGGTCCCCAGCTGATAGCCCTGCTGGGAGATGGCGGAAACTTCAGGAGGTAAGTTCTACTTGGAGGAAGTAGGACATTGGGGGTGTGCCCTTCAAGGAGATATGAAGATCCCAACCCTTCCCTTTCTTTCTTCTGCTTCCCGGGCGCCACCATACATTTTCCACTGTGATGTTTCTCCTCTCCACAGGCCCAAAGGGTCAAGACCAAGTGACCATAGACTGCAAACCAAAATAAATCTTTCTCCTTTTTAATGAATTGTCTCAGGTATTTTGTCACAGCAATGGAAAGTTGACTAACACATCTCGGGACCTAAGGTACCCATTCCCCATCCCTCTGCCACTTGCTCACAGTTGTCCTTGAGGTGAAGTTTTCAGGGCCTTTCCTGGCTCTGCCTGGGATGTCCTTCCCCTCGGTATCTTCATGGCTCAGGCTCAAGTGGCACTTGGCCCCACAGGCCTTCCCCAAATGCCCTGTGGGTATGGGAGCAACTCCTCTCTCAGCCCAGCAGCTGGAGAGTCCTCATGCTGCTTTCTCCTTGTGCCACGCAATAATAGCTGCTGTGGCACTGAATAGTGGTTTTGGACTCGGACTCTCTCTTTGACTGGAACATAAGCTCCCTGGGAGCAAAGACGTTGTTTTGTCTGCCCCTGTGTCTCCAGGACCTGGGACATTCATTGTATGTTCTCAGCACATATTTACTGAAGGCACCAGGTCTACTGCATCTTTCCCATCTCCACTCTAATGTCTATTTTTTGAACTTGGGTCATAATTATTAGTTCATGATTAATGATTCTAACATTCTGAGACCTGTTTACACTTGTGACTTCATAGTATCATTCTTTGTAAATATACCACATGATTGGTTTTTAAAAACAAACTTCACATTTTAGAGCAGGTCACAGCAAAACTAAGTGGAAATACAGAGATTTCCATACACCCCCAATATCCACCCTCACATTCCCTACCATCAACATCCTCCAACAGAGTGGTACACATATCCCAATTGATGGATGATGTACTGACACACCCCAAGGTCATAGTTTTTTTTTTCATGTCTTCATACATGTAATTTGGATAAGGATGTCCATCACATTCCACCATCCTTGCTAACTCCCTGCCCCCTCCCTTCTCCTCCCACCCCCTGCCCTATCTAGAGTGCATCTATTCCTCCCATGCTCCCTCTCCCTATCCCACTATGAATCAGCCTCCTTATATCAGAGAAAACATTTAGCATTTGTTTTTTGGGGGGGATTGGCTAACTTCACTTAGCATTATCTTCTCCAATGCCATCCATTTACCTGCAAATGCCATGATTTTATTCTCTTTTATTGCTGAGTAATATTCCATTGTGTATATATGCCACATTTTTTTTTATCCATTCATCTTCTGAAGAGCATCTAGGTTGGCTCCACAGTTTAGCTATTGTGAATTGTGCTGCTATAAACATTGATGTGGATGTGCCCCTGTAGTATGCTGTTTTTAAGTCCTTTGGGTATAGACCAAGGAGAGGGATAGCTGGGTCAAATGGTGGTTCCTTCCCAGATTTCCAAGGAATCTCCATACTGCTTTCCATATTGGCTGCACCAATTCACAGTCCCACCAGCAGTGTATGAGTGTACCTTTTCCCCACATCCTCACCAACACTTATTGTTGTTTGTCTTCATAATAGCTGCCATTCTGACTGGAGTGAGATGATATCTTAGAGTAGTTTTGATTTGCATTTCTCTAATTCCAAGGCCGTAGTTTACATCAGGCTTCACTCTTGGTGTCATAGATTCTGTAGGTTTGGACAGATGTGTAATGACATGCATCTGCCATTGTAGTAGTCTCCTACAGAATAGTTTCACTGTCTTAAAAATCCTTTCTCTCTGCCTATTTCTCTTTTCATTCTGCCTAACACATAGAAGCCACTGATATTTGTACTGTCCCTGGTTATTCACTTTTCATAGAATGTCATAGAGCTGGGATCATATAGTGTGTAGCCTTTGTAGGTTAGTTTCTTTAACATAGTGTTATGCATTTAAGTTTTGTCTGTGTCTTTTCACAGCTTGATAGATCATTTCTTTTTAGTGTTGAATAATATTCCACTGTATGGATGTGTCCATTCACTGTGTAATTGATTTTTGATATAGATTCTAATTTATTTAGGAGAGGGACCTATATCATATATTTTCTTTATTCTCCTCCTTTACATCCAGTTGTCCATTACAGGCCCAGCAGGCCAAAGAATCTCAATAAATCCTAATAAAAACCCTATTGGAGCTGCCAATAACACTCCCAGTCTGGTGAACTTCCAGGTAGTATCCACATTTTTCTTGTTTGTGTTCACGTTGTGTGTGGTCCTGCCAGCTCTGATGGTGTATGTGCCTCATCTGAGCCAAAAAATCCAAACCCCCAAACCAGCCCCCCACCCCCCAAAAAAAACCCCAACAACAACAACTACCCAAAGTGAGAGCTTCAACACCACGCCATCCTTACCTTCACCTCCTGTATCCATTCTATATCTAGTTCCACTTTCTTCTTACCACCAACCCGCTTCTTGCCTTCTGGCTCAGGCTCCATCATACTCGGGAGATGAAATGTGAGAGTCTCAGACGACTTTAGACCTGCCATTCAGTGAGTGAATGATGTTTGCATTCAGTCCAGCGACTGGATTGAGTAAGGTTTTTGTAGGAAAGGGAAAGGAAATGGAGATGACCCTCTCAACGAGCCAGGGAGGGTTTCAGGGTTTGGAGATTCAGCCATTGTCCAAATAAGGAAGGAGGCCGGGTCCTAGGAAGAGCAAGGTTTCTGAAGCTAGCAAGGCTGGGGCTGAAATTCCAGCTCTCTCTGTTTATTCAATCATTCACTGAACACATATTTCTAAGGGCTTAATGTGTAGCAGTCAAGGGCAGAATAATAGACACGATGGTGAAGGCCACCCCGTCCAGACATGGGCACTAGAGAAGGAGACAGCCATATGCAAAGTGTGGAGCAATGAGTGACATGTTCTCAGACAAAAGTTGTGGCTGCTAAATGAAAAAACAGACTAAAGAAAGGGAAACACACCTTAAACATGTTACTTTCACCTAAAGCCTAAATGTATATGAATATGTCATTTAAAATATAGAGCAAAGTCTTTCCTTTGAGATCTGATCACTGGGGCTCTGTGCTCAAACCACACCCATAATTTACTACTTATCACCTTCAGGTTTGGCAGTTTCTAATAGACTGAGTGCAGAATGGTACAATCTTAAAAAAAAAAACAAAACAATTTCTACACATTACCCAATTTTTTATGTACATTTGGTTCACAACTAACCCAAAATAATTTTTTAAAAAATATCTTCTTATTGAGCTTTTTAAAAAGCGTCAACTGGTTTTCATAGCAAAAAGTTTATTTTTATATTCATCCATTTTTATAACAATTGAATTTGGAACTAAACTAGTAAGGACAAGTGAAGCTCTGCTCCAAGTGCCTTCTGGAGGGTGTTGAATGTGATACAGGAGCTGCAGTGAAGGGAGCTGGGGAGAAGAGTTCTCTCTGAGGTCAAGGCCGGGATGCTCTTGGTGGGAGGGAGGAGCATGACTGTCTTGGGAACTGGGTTTGGGGAGCCAGCGAAGAGAGCCCTGGGTGTCCCACCATTGGGGCCAAAACAGGGTTCCATGAGAACTCACAGGAAGGAACTTAACCAGGCTCTGAAACTGAAGCAAATTTTGGTGGAAGGTAAGTGTCCATCAGTCAAGAGGGTGTCCTAGCACAAGGTCAAAGGCTCCAAGGAGAAAGAACTAGTGGTGACCGACGATTCCAGAGAGGCAAATAGGACTCAATCATGGGTTCATTTGCTCACTTAATAAATGCTTATTGTGTACCTGTGTGCCAAGAGCTGCCCTGGGTATCAAGGATGCTACAGTCCCTGCTATCTCAGGGGAGACTGATGCTAAATAAGTGAACAGATAATAGTGTAATGTGCCAGGTGGTTACTAGTGCTATGAAGAAATAGGGCAAGCAGGATGGAAAGTGATGGTGTGCATGTATATATTGTGTGTGTGTGTGTGTGAACACACTGGTCTATAATTTTTTTTTTTGAGATGGGATGTTGAGCAGGCTGGCCTCAAATTCCTGAACTCAAGTGATCCTTCTTGAGTAGCTAGGACCATGGGTACATGCCATCAGGTGAGTACTGGATGGTCAAAGGTAGCCAAGGAAAGTACTTCTGAGAAGGTAACATTCCCTCTGAAGAGAGGGACAGAGCCATATATCAGAACCAGGAGCATTCTATGCAGAAAGAGCAGCAAGAACAGTCCCTGTGGCAGGAGACACTAGGCCCATTTGATAAATGAGGAAAACAGCAACAACAACAGTATGTCTGAAGAGGAAAAGCTGAGAGCCTTGCAAGTCACATGAGGAATAGGGACATTTTCTTGGAGGCCATAGAGACCCAATGAGAGTTTTCAAGATTACTCCAGACTAGACGGTTCTGAACAGGAAAGACCATTTCAACTGAGAATCCCAGAGAGAAATGAAGATGCAGGATCCTTTTCCAAAATTATTAAGAATTTCAGGACAGTGACAGGAAAGTTTTAACCAAAGCACAGGGTCCCTCTCTGTGCGGAGCCCCGCCCAACTGCGTGGGAAGTTGGCCCTGGTTTGGCAATTCAAGTGTTCAGAGTCCTGGGCTGTGTACTAACGATAAAGAGTAGGTGGGCATGGTGGTGCACACCTGCAATCCCAGCAGCTCAGGAGGCTGAGGCAGGGGGATCGTGAGTTCAAAGACAACCTCAGCAGCAAGACCCTGAGCAAATCAGTGAGACCCTGTCTCTAAACAAAACATAAAAAAGGGCTAGGGATGTGGCTCAGTGTTTAAGTACCCCTGGGTTCAATCCCCAGTACAAAAAAAAAAAAAAAAAAACTCCTACCAAACAAACAAAAAAACCCAAGCAGGACCCTGGCAGTGAGTGAGTTTGCCTCTCAAGGGCAGCTAGTTCTCTAGCTTCTTGGGGACTAGCTACAACAGGAGCCTGAAGTGGACGTCTTTCATCAACTAGCGTTCTGGTTTGGATCTAAGGTGTCCCTGAAAGCTCATGTGTGAAACAATACAGGAATTTTCAAAGATGAGCATTAAGATTAGGTTATAAGAGCTGTAACCTGATCAGTGGATTCATTCACTTGATGGATTAAAAATTTGCAAGGACTACTCTACTGGGTGGTAACTGAAGGCCGGTGGGGTGTGGCTGGAGCAAGTAGGTCACTTTGGGGTTGGTATATTGTCCCTAGCACCTCGCTCTCACTTCCTTGATGTTGTGAGCTGGATAGCTTTCCTCTACACCAAGCCTTTCCACCATGATGTTCTGCTTCACCTCAGGCCCAGAGTAATGGAGTTGACCATCTATGGACTGAGCCTCTGAAGCTCTGAGCCAAAATCAACTTTTCCTCCTCTAAGTTGTTCCTGTCAGGTCTTTTGGTCACAATGATGAAAAGCTAACTAACACAATCACAAATATCACATTTCTGTGTAATAAGCTCACATCTTTTAGGGGTCAGTTATCGGAACAAGCAGGGAGTGGGCAGAGGAAGAATCCGGTCATTTGTATTATATCAAATTTCATTCTCCAGTTAGAAGCCCTTCTCTGGACATGGGACAGTAGATTATCCTGAAAGGCTTTTATTCCCTCAAAGGAGCAAAAATTCATGCATGCATGCATCCATTCAAGAAACATTGATTGAGTGCCTATTGTATGCCTTGCTAAGGTGCCAAGAAAATAAAGACATAAGTGTCTACAGCCACAGGGTAAAAGAAACATAAGTAGCAGACAAATGTAAAACAGTAAGTGTAATAGACATTTTCTGTGTTCCTGGCGACTGAGAAGGTGAACTCCTGTCCTTGTTTTGGGGGTACCCCATTGTGTGAGCCTTGGTGGGGGACAGGTTCTCTCACCTCAGTAACTGGAGGTAACAATTTCTCCTTTTCCCTACCCTCTAACTCCAATGAGGACATGAGACTTAGGCTTAGACAGTTCCCATCCCTTTTTCTTCTCTAGACACACTGGCCTGAGCATGCCCAGGAGATGAGTCCTAGGTTTGGCCTGAGAAATAGTGAAAAAAAAAAACAGTGTGGCTTTTCCATTCAATGACTGGTGTTCTTGGGAAAATCACTTAATCTCTCTGAGCCTTAGTTTCTTAATCCTTCTTCACATGGTTATGAAGATAACTTTGAATCAGACATTGCATATGCAAGTACTTAGCCCACAGGGGTTATTCCTTAAGATTTGGGACACATGCTACTATTAGGGGGCTAGAGCACTCTCTTGAGAGGGAATCTGAGGGTGTGACATGTCTCAGGGGGAAAGAGGACCATGGCTGATTGGCTGTCTCTCTCATGGGTACCACCACCCTTTCTGTGTTAGCTTTCTCTGGTTTTCTGAAAGATACTCCATATTGTGGTTTGAAGTTCCTCAGTTAAGCAGTCTGACCCAAACTTTGCATGATTCAACCCACAAACCTGGTAACCTCCATGATCAGCCATGTCTTAATAGCTGGGTCCCACAAGTGGAGACCCTTTCCCCCAAATCTGTGTTAGATGCCCCTCCCTGTGCTTCAGAGCATCCCTACCCATCATAGGACTTAACCATTATATTCCCCACTTGCTTGTCTGTCCCCTTCCTCCAAGGGATCAGACGGTCCACCGGTCCTAGACTGTGTCTATCTTGCTTGATATTTTGTTCCCTGCAGCTCGGACTTTGCTAGCCCAGTCGGTACTTGAGTAAACAAGCATTTCTGCCTCCTTTACAAGGCAACTAGATGGTCAGAGACTAGACACGGGGAGTGACTGGTAGTCTGGTGCTTACCTTCATGTCTCTTCATAAGCCATACGATTGGGTCTTCCAATGCTTCAAAATTTGCCTTCAACCTAAAAGGAACATGAATCCTCTTTGAAAACCGTGACTGAATGTACATGTCATGATGCGCAGAGCTGGCGGGGCTAGAGCCTGTGGAATCTTTTATATCAGGGTGAGGGTGGGGGTGGGGGAAGTTGAGCCACTGGCTCTGCTGTCTGACCCAGCTTTCCTTCCAGTCCATGGTCAGGAATAAAAGGTTGGCCTTTGGCCTCCGTTCTGTTCTTCCCGCCTGGTGGCTTACTGATTTTCATCCTGGGCACATGGGCTGACCCCCAAACCCTTGAAAAAGAATTCAACAAGAATTATCTTGAAGCTGAGCATGGTGGCACAACTTGGGAGGCAGAGGCAGGAGGATCGCAAGTTGAAAGCCAGCCTCAGCAACTTAGTGAGGCCCAAACAACTTAGCAAGACTCTGTCTCTAAATAAAATATATATATATTTTTAAAAAGGGCCCCCAAATAAGGTGGTCTCCAGGGCAGCTGGGTTTCCTAGTTCTCAGATCTGAGTTCGTTTGAAAGGAAAGGTGTCAGAAAGAGTGAGGTTCCCAAGCTTAAATGGAACTGAAAAGGAGGCCATTGACCCGACAGGTTTTAAGTCCCTGAAGAGAAATAAAAATTAAACCCAGAGCAACCTCAGTTGATGGCAAGGGTCACACTATGTCACCTAGCAGAGAGCAGAGGGTTACTATTTATACACAAGCAGCAGTGGGGGAACAAAGAATGGCATTTTGGTGGCCCATTTGTACAGAATGTTATCGGTTTGACTTGTAAGCTCTCTAATCGGAATCAAAGCAATTTCTGCCAACTGGCACCTGTGGAAAAAAATAAGGACCACAGCGTGTGGCGAGGTGGAAGCCTGTGAGCAGGATGCCAAATGCAGACAAGTGTTAAACTCTAGTGAAGGGATCCAGCCAGAGGCTCCAAGGCCCTTTCTGTAATGGCTGGATGTGCCTCCCTTGGTATTTTGCAAGTAAGTGGAATCCCCCCAAATGTGAGGCTGTGAGGTACACATGACTGTATCCCCATAGCCCAGGGGAAATATTTGTTGAGCACAGTCAGGTTGAAATGAGCTTCTCTTATAGGCTACAGTGGGAAGAAAGGGGAAGAGATGGAACCCAGGCGGCAGGTTGATTTACCCGGATGCTATTTGGTATTTGCTTTTGCTGATCTGAGAGCTTGGGAGAGCTTTGTGTTTTGCTCTTGGGAGATCTTTGTGTTTTGCTCTGTTCCTTTGCCTTCCCCTTTTCTGGAGAAGCCTTGAGGATCTGTTGCCCATGACTACTGAGCCCCAAACGGAAGTTGCTGGCAGTCAGTTTCTTCCTGATTGGTCAATGATGGAACTTGCTACAGTGATTATGGAGGGGACTTGTTTCCTCAGCCTGTGTTTGGTACCACTGCTGGAGAGTCAGCCACAAACCCATGGGTCCTCCATCCCCATTACCCACCGACACACACACACACACACACACACACACACACACCTTGCTCCTCCAGATATTTGACAGTGGATAAGAGTAAACCCAGGTGTCTATGCTGAGAGGACATATCGCATCACAGGCTGGATGTATACATGAGATTCTGGAATATTTGGGAACTGGAGCCTTGCCAGCAAGAAAGAGCTGGTGCCAGCAACAGGTTTGCAATAACCCTCTCATTCCCTACGTCATGGTCTGAGGCTCTGGTGTGATCCCCAGTTCAGTGATGCTCATAGCTTTCCCTCCTTGAGAAAGCAAAGCAAAGCAAACATCGGCCAGCCTAGGATGAAGCCAGGGAATTTGTTGGGGAGATGCTCAGCATCTTGACAACTCTTGCCCCCTCTTTTAAAAGGAATCTGAGTCTCATTCCCTAGACTCTTGTTCAAGTTCATTTTCCTTAAACGACCCTTCTTGCTCTGGATTTCCAACCTCTGCCCCTGGCTTTGCTCCTATCCCGTGCCTCCCATGTTTGTGATTTCCTTGCTCTTGGGTTTTCACTTTAGTCTGGCAGCTGGATGATCGCTGTGTCTGTCTGACCCCTGGGTATCACCGTTGCTCTTGTACCTGGCCTGGGCCTGCTTTCCCTGCAAGGGGACTTGCCAGGCTCTGCTTTCTCCCCTGGTGGTTCCATTTACAACTTTGCCTGCTGTCACCTCCTGTCTCCCCAAACCCACAGACCACTAATCCCACCTCTCCAGTTACTCACAGCATTCCCAGCTTCCTTCTGTTTTCAGTTTCCAGCATCAGAGTCAGGGGGATGTTAAGATCGTCTTCCAGTTCATTGGCAGCATACATTTCTCTGACTATTCTCTTAAATACTGTCTGATAGGATCTTCTAAAAAACTAAAAAAGGATCACAAATGAAATCCCCAGAAAATGAAAATTAATGATTCATTAGTTAATCCCTTCTTCGGACTCCCAAACGTGCCAGGTGACATTTCATCATGTGATTCAAAAGACACAAAGTTGGGGAGCAGTAGGGTGGCTAGCAAGAATTCTTTTATAGAATTCATTATATTCTCTTCTTGTCCCCCCACCCGATTGCCTTACAAATTGTTTGTAATATCAGTATCTCAAGAACTCTTTTGAGATATAATATCCTCTTTTTTTCAATTCTGAAAATGGCTATAAAATGTAAAAGTGATTTCACATTTTAAGAGTGTAGCGGGTTCTCTGATCCCCAAATGGCCAATCTCCTAGGGGTGGCTTGTTTATTCAATATCAAGGCTGAAGTCTTTGAGGGAAGCCGTGGAGCAGTAGAGCATCATTGTACTGGACAGCTCTGCATTGAAAGATTCTTCCCAGGTAAGGGCTTTACACTGTGTAAAGCCTTTGTACTGTGTAAATTTGATCCTCTGTCTCAGGTCTGTGCTTCTTATCACGACTGACCCATAGATGGGTCCTTGCAATTTGAACTTGTGTGGACTTGTATGTTCACAAAAATAAGCCTTGCAGGTACCAAGTGGCATTCATTCCGTTCTTCCTTTCTTGCTCTGGTTCTACTTGTTGCCTACCAAGTTGTTTGGAGAAGTTTTGCGTCGCTAAGCCATGTTATTGACTGCTATGGTTTGGATATTGAATGTCTACCAAAGGCCCGCCTGTTAAGGGCATGGTCGCAGGGTACGTTATTAGGAAATGGCAGAACCTGCAAAAGGTGGGGCTTCGTGGGAATTGCTTGGGTTACTAGAGGAGCACCTTCTAGGGATTGTGTGTATCTATTTCCTCTTCTCCCTTGTTCTACTTCCTGGCTCAAGATGTGACTTCTTGCTCTGACACAGGCTCCTGCCATGGTGTGCTGCCCTTGCCAGAGGCCCAAACCCATGGGGGTTGCCTGATCTTGGACATAAAACTCCAGAACTGTGAGCCAAAATAAAGTCTTTACTTTACAAGTAGCCAATATCAGGTATTTTGTTACAGTGACGTGGAGCTGACTAATACATTATGTTGGGTGATAATGTTGGTGCCCATGCCCCAATCCTTGAATGGTACAGAAATCAGAGAGGAAAGAATCCCCAAACTTGGTGCCAAGTTTTGTCACATTGACTCTAGAGCAGCATGGCTCATGTCCAGACTTTTGCAATGTGCTTCATAACTGGTTTCCATCCATGACTGGCTTTTATACTCTAACCACAGGGGCTCAGTCACCGTCTATAGAATTTGGATAAGAAACATATGTGGTACCATCCCCTCTAACCCCTTTTTTTTTCCTGGATTCCACTTCATTTATTAAAAGCCCTTCTAGATGCTGACCAAAAGCTCATAGGCTCACGTAGGAAAACAAACTAACACTGGCACGTTTTTATGTGTTTGGGGGAAAGGAGGTACTGTCTATCTGTGATAGTAAAAAAAAAATAACAATAATAATTATGCCCTATAATCACCTCTATTTCCCAGGTTGCAACTATATGCTAAATGCTATATGCTAAGAATTCTCCCACAGATTCGTATATTGAAGTTCTATTCTTTGTAACTTAGTGACCTTGTTTGGATATAGGGTCTTCACAGAGGTTACCAAATTAAAATGGTGCCATTGGGGTGATCCCTCATCCTATATGACTAGTGTCCTTATAACAATGGGAAACATAGAGGTAAGACAACAGGAAGTGATACGAGGTGGGGGAAGATGTCATCTACAAGCCAAGGAGGGAAGTATGGACCAGATTCTCCCCACACAGTCCTCAGGGGGAACCAAGCCTGCCAGTGTCCTGATTTGGGGTTTTTAGTCTCCAGAATTGGGAGTCAATATGCTTCTGTTGTTTAAGCCACTTCATTTGTGACACTTTATTACTGTGGCCTTAGCAAACTAATACAGATTCCAAATCAAAGCCTTTAGCCAAGAACATTCTCCTAGAATTTAGATGGACTGTTCCTGGTTTTCAACTTGACGTCATTTGGATGTATTACAGGTACTTACTCAGTGTGCCCAAATGGAGCTTTCTACTCTACCCAACATATATGCCAGCCCTTCTTCTCCTCTTCAGCTTCCCAGGACACAGAGGATAAGTATGTCCTATGTCACGGCAGGTGATTGGACATAGCCCTAAGCAACCAGATTTTATCCTTTGTTCATGTGTACTGATATTGTAGAACTATTCTTCTTCCTGTCCTCAGTCTCCCCACTCTAATCCACAGAGCCACCAGAGTGGCCCTTTAAAAATGCAAAATTGATCCTGTCAGTCGTGAAGGAACTCAATTAATACTGTTGGGAACTTCGGCCGGATCCCCTATGCCATGCTGTTTCCCCAAATACATTTCAAATTTTTTTATATATATTAAAGATCTCTTAGAGAGCTAGAAAAATAAATAAATTATAATTTTTTTTGAGAGCCAAAAGACCTTTCTAAATCTAAAAAAATACCCAGTAGTCATAAGAAAAAAAAAAACTGTTCCATGAACCTTCCTAAACATGAAAATTGACCATGTCATGGAAAATACCATGAAGAAATTTGGAATAAAAAAACTGAAAAAAAAAATGTTTACAACCTAGATGCCAAAAAAAAAAAAAAAAAAAGGATTAAACTCTTCAATATATAAAGAGTTTTTACAAATCAGAAGAAACGAGAAAGAAGTAACACAATAGAAGAGGAGACAAAACATACAAGCTGGCCGTTTCACAGAAAGGGACACAATGTGACCGACAAATGTGAACATGCCCTGCACCTTTTGTATTGAAAAATAGGCCCAGGAGACATTATTTTCACCCTGTTGGATGGACCAAATGATGCCCCTTGGTGGGTGAGGGTGTGTGACCTCTTGGGGAAAGGAAAGTGGCACAATACATATGGGCAGAAATTTGTCAGTGCCATTCGAGTTAAGGATGCAGGTAACATTGGATTTGGCATTCAACTGCAAGGGATTTATTCTTTAGATATTCTTGCACAGGTAATAACATATATATTTAATTTATTTCTTCTCCCTCTCTACATATGTATATGCATATAAGTACATATACTGGAAATAAACATCTATTGGTAGGGTGCTGGTTAAATTTTGGTGTAAGATATAACAGAACACCACAGATTTCTAAAAATGGAATAAATGGAAAAGCAAGCTATAGGATAGAATGTATATTACTATCTAATTTATGGATATGTATGATTTATATTGTTTATGTGCATTAAAATTTCCAGATCGCTACATGAAGAGCAAAACACAGTAGCTATTTCTGGGAGGTAGGGACTTGAAACACTTATTTTACAGCTTCTTTACCATTTCAATATTTAGAAATCATGCACACTTGATTTGAGATTCAAATGCTAGGTTGAATCAAAATATCAAAGCAAAAAAATAAACACAAATCTGGTAGTGCCACATCCCTGTCTAACTAACGTCCTCTAGTGTCAAAGCCCTGTGATGTGAAGGTGCTGGCAAGGGGAGTCCTCTTGTTCAGTCTCTTTGTCTCATGGAACATTCTGGAAGGCTCCTAAATGGGCCCTGCTCTTTCAGAGGCTGGTGCAGCCATGCAGAGGATGTGCCTAGCCTGTGAGTGTCACCTGTTTTAATATTTGGAGGAAGGTGCTCTCAAATCTTCACCCAACTTACATTATCACTGTAGTTCTTAAGTTCCTTGTCCACAGCCTCATCTATGATGCTGGCCCATTCATCCAAGGCTTTCAATTTGGAAGGCACATCGAAAGGAAGGTCATTGGAATGGAAAGCAAAATAGGAAAGAAATGGATTTATGACATTTACCCTTGTCCTTTAAAAAACATGCCTAAGTCATCCACGAGACTAAATAAATCCATTAAATTACCTAAAGTCCAACTTGGAAGTACTCATAAAATAGGAATATAAAGGTCAGTTTCCATGGCTGACTTAAGGAAGCAAGTGTGGTGTGTTTCTTGTGTCCAGTGAATGTCAGTCCGATCAAGTGATATTTGAGGGAGTCCCAGATGAAGTCAGGCAGGGAGCAGGCAGATGGCTGGGCAAGGCCCTGGGGTGAGTGGTTAGACTCACAGGCAGACTGCCACAAAAAGCACAGTCTGCCTGGAGCCGAACATGAAGGAGGGCAGAAGGGGAGTTAGAGAGCGCACAGAGAGTCAAGGCCAGCCCTCAGAGGGCTTGGAAGGCGGTGGGAGGAACTGAAGGGAGATGATTTTTTTTTTCTTGGAACTCTCACAGAATGTATCTGTCTTCCACCAGTTTTGTCATCTATCGCCTATTTCTGGAATGGCCTATGGTTTACAATCGCTGGTCAAAGCAGAAGAGAGGACTCCCCAAGCGAGTCAGTTAAAGTCTACCAGAGATAGCAAACGTCTTTTATTCTTCAAGGTCAGCTGTGGTGGGTGGCTCTCTGGGCCAGGAGAGCTGCTCAAAGCCTCCAGGGCAGTGGGGTGCAAATTGAATTGTGGGATTGATAATTACAACTTGAATCTCTCTTCCCTACTCCCTGGAAAGTGTGGCTTCTGAGGTGAGGGCTTGGGGGAAGTGGCTCTCACAAGATAATTGGGTCCCCAGAGAAATGACAGTGGCCTATTGCCTCAGCTTCTGGATGATACCTTCAAGCTGGGACATCCAGAGAGCCTTGAAAACCCACCAGGTTGGCACAGGGCTGACTGACTTCGTTTGATTTTGCATCCTCATTATGTCTTTGTGGGCAGAGAGGGGACATTCTTTGTGATCCCCACCCTCATTAATTTTGCCCTGCTTCCCTGTTTGATTGAGTAATAAAAGCCCTGACTCTTTTGGGCTCCTGATGGGATGGGACAGAGAGTTCCACTGAGTGCAGCGACACAAGGCCCAGGGGCCTGTCTGTCTGCAAACCTCCCACTGCAGCCTCGGTCTGCACTGGATTCTATCCACTTGCCACATCTGTCAATACCCCAGCGGCCACACATGTCACATACATCTCCGCCACGAGGGTACTTAATGTGACAGTGGCGATGTCTGCCATGGAGAGGAGCATGGGAAGTTTTCAAAAGTTTAGGAAAATCCAACAAGGACCCACAGGAATTCAAGCAAGCATCGGGGAAGCTCCCTGTGAGTGGCACCAGAGAAGTGACGTGAATGAACAGGGAGAACAAGGGTCTAAGAGACCAAGGTGCAAGCCACAAGTGTAAGGTGCTTTGAGCTGCAAGGGCAGCTGCCTTCTGTGTGACTGCCCCAGAGTGAGCCTGGCTCTGGCCCTCACAGCTCAGCCAGAGCCCCATCATTTGTGAGGGCTATATTTTAATAGGCTTTATTGAATAATGCCCAGTTAATATGAGGAAGGAAAAGTAGGTGTTTATCCAGGAAGAAGGTGAAATTGGCATTTCTGAATACTGAACAGTAGTGCTCAGAAGCCTTCGATTCAATGTAATAATTAAGCTTATTAACATCAATGGGCTTTGTCAACATGGCAAGTTAAGCATGGTAAATAAGCAGTAGCATAGCTATAACTGGAATTGAATGAGAAGAAAACTATTTCTAATTTACTGACCCTTTGGGGATCCCCCCAACTACTTCTGCTCTGGTGAGATCAATATCTTCCTGAAATGGCCCCACAGAACATTGGGGAGGTGTCAGATTAGGTTCAAGTGGTGAGCCACCTCTGACATACCACACATCCTTCTTGCATCCTAGCTCCTCATCTGTGCAATGGGGACAGTAAGACTCATCTTTAGGGTAGCTCAGAGTATCAATGCTAATGTAGGTCAATGCCTGGCACACACTCTGTGCTGAATGGAGTCTTTTTCCTGGTCTGATTATGAACAAATCTTAGTTCTTCCTCACTCAAAGTGCCTCTTCTCTAAGAGTGATTTTGCATCCTCATTAAGCTTACTTAACACAATGGCACTTCCTGAATTTAGGATAAACGTTTGAGCCATTTGTATTTGCCCTGATAACAATAGTCCCCATGTTATAATGACAAAAATTCTTTGCTTGACCAAAGGCTCCTGAGTCTTCTAGGCCTGTCTGTGTACTTCCTCGTAAAATCCAGTTTTAGCAAAAACCCTGCTAAACCACTTTAGTAGGAACCCCCTACCCTCAAGATCTGACCATTTTAGGTATCTGATCACGTTCCTCAGCTCTTCCAGCTCCCAGTGATGTCTGATTACTTTGGCCTATCTCATGCTTTAACAAATGCCATTAAATGATTTTCTCTTTGACAATAGATGAAGAAAAGGAGGAGAGAAGTAAAGTGACTAGCCCAAGGGCCAGCTCTGAGAAATGAGCAATCAGCACAGATTAACAAGCACCCAAGTGAAACTCAATACTCTTTTCACCCCATGCACCCTTCATGTGACCTTGTTGACCTAGGCAGGTGGGACATCAGTTGGGCTGCCCATTGCGACATGCACAAATCCTTAAACTGTTCTAAAGTCTGGCTACCCAAAATGTGATTGGTGGATTAGCAGTAGCTTCTGGGAGCTGCTTAGAGAGGAAGAATATCAGACTTACCGACTCAGAATCTACATTCACACAAGGTCTCCAGGGGACTGCACTGTGCATTAACAATTTAGCAGCACCTCTCTAGAACACCCTTGGAAATGGAACAAGACAGAGAAAACTGTATCCAGAAGTACCTTCTGGGGTTGCAGAGATGTGGGTGGCATGCATAGTCCATAATTTGAGTCTGTTTGATAAGTCATGGGGACAGGGGGTAGAATGATGTGTGTGTGTGTGTGTGTGTGTGTGTGTGTGTGTGTGTGTAAGAATACCCCTAAGTTTCATGCTCCAGGACAACAGGTAATAGTTCTTAAACTGTTTCCTTATGAGGATGGGTCTGGTTCATGTGGGCTTTTGTTTTGTGGTGGTGCTGTGCAAGTTGGAATTCTGCACCATAAGGATTCTCCCCTGTCCTTCCCCATCTAGAATTACCAGACCCGCCTTAATAACATTTAATAAAGCTTTAATAAATCTTTAAAAAATTTTTAGGAGTTCTAAGTTATTTGCTACCAAGGTGCCACTGGATGAGTCTATCTGAGGGTGCACACACCACAGTCAAGTCCTGCTTTCTAGACCTCAGGGGACCCAACAATAGCCTGAACCATCTTTTAATGTAGAGGCTCTTGTTCCAGAGCTTTTGGGTAGGAAGATGAGCTTCAGGGCCTGTCCCATCATTCTGTCTCCCTCATTTCTTGTTTTGGGGTTCTGAGGCTGTGTGCCCAGAATGTCCGCAGTCCTTCCAGGACTTAACAAGCAGGACAGCAGGACAAACAGCAAGGGAACCATTCACCAGGGACACTTTCCCCAGCCTAGGAGACTCTGCAGGAAGATATATTTTGATGGACACTTACAAGCTATATCCACTGGCTGCAATCCAGAGACAACATTCACTGAAAAAAAATGGGCAACATTATTAACAGGATGTATGGTATGGTGAACTAAATGGGACACTTTAATCCCCAAGAGAATCAATTTTAAAGTCACCTCCTAAATAGCTGGGGGAACAGAGTGGAGATCACATGATTTGGAATAAGAGACTTCCTTGATCTTGAGCAGGTCAAGGCCTGTGGCCTATGCTCACTAAATAGTCCCTTGGTTGCTATTTCTTGACCACTCGAGTTTAAATTCTGAGAGTGTGAGATGTTTTTTTCCATTTTTATATCCTGCCCAGTATATAGTAGGTGTACAGTTAATGTCATTGAATGAACTGCATATGGATAGTTCATTATTTTCCCTCCTAACTCCAGTCATAAATGTTGTTTCCTTCCTTTTCAAAATGCCATAGCAATTGCCTCTTTGGTTCAATGTCTTATCTGAGCCTTGATCTTGACACTAAGTTCCAAAGATAGTGCCTTGGCCATTGGCCTTGATCAAGGCTGCCTCAGTCTGCCATGATCAAGCAGGTTCTGCTTGGCTGGGAGCATGCTAACTCTGTGCTTCTCATCTTCTTGCGCATGGATAAGTAACAAATACTACAGGTCATCAAAACCATTACAAATTATACCTTCTGAATAAGAGCTCATGGAGTTGTCTTCATCTGGTTTTATTTCAGGCTTCATAAAAACTGATAAAAGGAAAAAAAAAACAGAAGAAGATGGAGCATTACAATTTTAACCATGCTTTCCAATGGGTTCATGTTGGACATGTGGGATCTGAGGTTCTCTTCGGGTTCATCAAGGAAGGGGAAGAACCAGGGCTGATGGGCTCCATGGGCAAGGATTGGGTACTCCCTCTGCCCCTCTTTGTCTCTGGGAATAAGGACTGCAATAAATCAGTGGTGGAAAAGGTAACCTCTCTCTGGCTTTCCCCTATGGTCACTGTGGGGCTAGTCTGGGTCCCCAGGGTCTCTAGGATGGCTGGGGTTGGGGGCAACCTTAGAAATACCCTTCCTGCTATGGAGTCAGCTGGCACCAAGACCATGGGGACACACAGTAGGGTGTGACCTATCATGGTAGCAAGTGGGCATCTCTGGCATTCTTTGCCAAGAGCTTTCTCAGAGGTGCATAATGGGGGCTGGCTGGGAAACATGGTAGTGGGGACTGACTGATATCAATCGGTTGAGTTAGCCCTGGGAGGCTACTGTGTTTTTTTTAAAAAAAACTTTTGTAAGTTCTTGGTTATCCTTGTTCTGTGTCTTCCGTAATTTTGTGATCCTAGCTCCTTTTATCCTTTGCCCCATCCCACCTCCTCTTCGCACTCCCAAACACATGTGGACACATGGGTGTACACATACACACACACACACATACACACACATACACGCACACACACGCACACACATACACCCTACATTTCATTCTTAGGAGTAATAGAGAAGCAGGTCCCAACAAAAAAAGTGAAAGTGAACTTTCATTTTCATTTGTCTAATTTCTTACAATGCCTCAAAACCCAGAAACATGATTCAATTATTTTCACTCTATAATCTGCAGCATATTTTATCTAGGGTTAACTATTCTCTTCTGATTTTCCCATCAATCCTTGGTTTCTGAAACTTCCTACCTGATTTTGTTGCATTCTTTCCAATCTGAAGATAATTTACTTTCACAGTGAAGACAAAATTCAACAGCCATTGAAGAACTTGACTTTCTCTGCATCACTCATCCATGCTGTGTCAATGGCAGCTCTGCCTTAACCTTTTTGGTCCAATCACATTTTCAAAGGGTCTTTTGTTGCCTCCTGTATTCTCTTTAGTATTATAATTATTATTTTTCGTAAGAATGTTTATCCTGGGATTCAGCTTTCCTGACACTAAAAGTTCAGAATCATTTTTCTACAATTCTTTGTCAGGAATATCGTCTTTGTTGTAACTTCTTCACTTGATCTTTCAGATCCAAGTTCTCTAAAGGAAAATCTGTGCTACCACACTCTGCACTTTGGGGAGCTTTCCAACCCTCTTCTCTGTCTTGCCAGGTGGCTTGAAGGATCACTTGCCCCCCACTTTCATTTAGCCTTACCTACTTTTCTATACATATAGTGTCTCTGACTCTAGCCCCTTTTCTACCAAGACTATTTATTTGGACAGGATGTACCTTTTTATATCCATTATCCAATCTTGAATCAGAGGAGGAGTTCAACAACAATTTAAAAAGTATTTAACAAATATTTATAGGTGCTTCCTATGAGCCAGGCACTAAATCTGGAGGATTTCTGTGAGCATGGATATAATGCTTGGTGTTGTAATTCCTGTTCTCCTTTGTTTATGATCCTGCTCTGTATCTAGATAGATGGACACATGGGGCCATAAATAGTCCTTCTGGTCCTCCCGAAGGCCTCCTCATATGGATCACAAGGTATTTCCTGTACCTTTAGCATTCTTTCCCCATCAGACCTGCCACCCTCTGGAGTAATAGCTTTCAAGGATTTATCTGGGTAGATTTTGCTCCATATTGAGTTCACAGTCCTGTTGTGCCATGTAAAACACTGTTTCTGACCCATTGGGGTTGAGCAATCCCATAATGAAAAATGCTATGGAAACACGAGACTGACACCCACAAAATTCACCTTAAGCTAGAGTTCTCAGTTCTCTATCAGGTTCCCCAGAATTCTCTGGAGATATTGTTAAGAAGGAAGATTTCAAGTCGTTGCAGGCAGGGATTCTGATAAAGGCTGGGTGGCCGTCTTTGCAAGCATCTCGTGGTGTGGCTGTGCAGACCCAGGCCTCCTGGAGCAGCAGTCTCTTGCTGCTGTGGCCTTGCACTACCAGCTCTTTAGGTTGCTTTTTGGTCATGGTCTCCTGTGTTTTTCCAACAAGTACATGGGTACGTTCTGCCCTGGGCTTAAAGCAGATTCCTTCTTGTGTCTGCTACTCTTAGGATTCCTTAATACACTGACAGAGGGCCCTTTTCCTCCCCTCTTCTTGACTTTGAGGCCCTCGACCTTCCTGGGACCCCATGCTTCTTGGCTGCATCCCCTGCCCTTCCTACATCACCTCATGTCGAAGTCTCATACTGCTTCATTTCTTCCTCCAGCCTGAAGCCAACCTGTGTTTGTACCACTAGCTGGAAGGTGGATGTTTCTCCTCAGTGCTCCCTGGATACATACTCTGATGGAGGTGAGACCTGGAACCGTTTTGAAATTGGTATGCAGAGCAACTCGGCAGGAAGTTCAGCTGGCTGGCTCGCCTGCAGCCTTCCCTGTCTTTGAGCCTGGATCACAGGTCTGGGGTCCCTGACCCAGGAGGCTGGGAGGCTGGAGATGGTCTATTCCTTCCCATGGCATTATTCAACCAGCTTGGCTTGCTAGCCCATAAACTCCTGCCTTTGAGGCAGTGACCCAGGCTCTGAGAGCTGCTAAATATACCTGTGCCTTGTCATTCCATCATACTGGTTCCATTCCACAGACTAGACATAATCACGAACCTATTACCACCAAATCTCTCCAGAAAGATGAATTGTAAGCCACAAGCAGGAAGGGAAAGGAATTTCCATGAGTTTTAGGGACTTGCTTTTCCTTAATTTTGATTTCTGCTGTAATGATTGTAAGAGCAAAAGGCAAGGTTTTCCCTCACCCTCTGAAGGTTCACAGTAATGAAGTGACTATAGACACACCAAAGAGAAAAGAGACACAAACTTCTCATGCACAGAGGAGAACATGTGACCCCCAGCCCACGATTCAGAAACTTGTATACCCCCGTTTCCATAGAGGGGCAGATGGGGAATGTAGACAGTTTCAAGAGGAAACTGTTTCTAGGGGTATATTGTTTCTAGGGGTACCCAGTGGGCTTGGAGAAACACTGTGGCCTGGGACAAAGTCCTTGGGGTCTGCAGAATAGACAATGAATTGTAAAGGGACTCAGTTTTGGTAGGACAGACAGCTGTGAAACTTTCCTGTCCAGATCAAATACATGTGGTACTTACAACCTAAATTAAATACAGACAGGACAAGCTATACATATTAGGCTTAAATACAAAAGGGTCATGAGTGAACACAACACATAAAGCAATGGTCTCAGCAGGGTCTCTCTGGGGTGGGTTCACAGTGGGAGGTACAGGCCTGAGTCTTTCCTTCCCACATCCAGCCTCATTCTTCCCCCTCTCTCCTCTCTCACATCCTTTCAAGCTTAGCATTGGCACTTCATAGGCAATTACTCAGGAAATGATTTTCAGAGTCCTGCTTACGAATTTCTAGATGAATGCTCAGATTTCCCCCAGCTGTCATGCTTCCTGATTTTGAAATGATTCCAGTTCTTGGGCTTCACCAGGGCACACATGCTGACACAAGTTCCAACTGAAACCATTTAGCCTGTAAAACACTCCTGGTCATGCACCGGCTCATTTGGGCTGTCCTCGGCCTCTCCGTTCTTCCTTAAAGGGTTTCTGGCTCCTAATTTCATTTAACCATATTTGAGCTACAAAATTTAGCAGGCACAGTTGGGGGCAGGGAGGTGAGGCAACCAGGGAATCTAATTTATTGCTGCCATGACTACAGATGTGAAATAAATCTGTGAATCAGTGATGGATCGATCCCACTAAGGCCAGACTTAAATGATTAATAATGGTGAGAAATGCTGTTCAGTCTTCCATCCCCAGGACCCTAGAGTGGAGGGCCTTTGGGCTTAATTGGATGGAGAATTAAGACCCCCAGTGCAATCTTGCTGAACCCTCTCCTGTGTCTCTCCCAGTTGTAGCTATGGAAGTTCATTGTACAGATGGTTTTGCCTGGTTCAGAGTCAGGGCTGGCTTCGACCGCACGCTGAGACAGAGTCTGAGGTGACTTCAGTCGCTTTCGCTGTTCTCATGATTATCTGGATATGGCCTATCGCACCAGGGAACCTGTCTCTAATCTGGGAAGGAAATGGCCTGTGTCCTGGAGGGAAAGATTTCCTGTTTCACGTAGAACAAGGACAGGAAGACTGATGAGCTACAAGGGAGGAGATTGAGGGAGGGCATCTGTTTCAGCGCAGGGGGAGTCTGGAACGGGTGGAAGGGGTGGCAGTGCTCATGCAGAAATTAACTTCTTTTGCATATATGACGTGGGATCACCCGGGGAGCAGTGTCACACCATTAGCATGGGACATAGTCCCCCAGGCACAGGAAACACTGTGAGCCCATTCTTTCCTGAGCCTCAGGGAGCCTGGTGATGGGACCCCAGCAGGGTGCAGCCTTCCTTACCCAACTTGCTTTCGTAGGCCCATTTCGTCTGACTGGCCTGGTGTCTTATGGAAACCTCGGCTTGTTCCGAGTCGGCAGAGATAGTGGCAGAACGTGGGACACCATAATAAAAGGTAGCCTGAGAGGTGCTGGCAATTGGGCTCCTGTCAGAGGGGAACACAGGGGTGGTCAGTTTCTAGTCAGACACCAGGTTAGGACTCAGGTCCATGGCATGCTGGGAGACTGGGGAGGAGGAGGCTGCTTTTCAGACTTCTGCCAGTCACAGATGATGGAGGCCATAGGATTAGACAGGACTCGCTGGGCCTGCGTGCCACTCTGGGTAGCACAGGCCGTGTGGGGCCAACTTCCGCCTTACTACAAAATGAAAGGTTCTCCAGGTACCTTCAAATACCACGGGGTTGGACTGCCATCACTGACAGCAGAACATTCTAGAACATTCCCCCTTCTTCCTGGTTCACAACCCTGTTCATTCCATTTGCCCTTTCTTCCTCACTGTTGCTCAAGGCAGAGTGGAAAACCACTGAAGGTGTTACAGCAGTTTAAATCAAGCACCGAGGTTTGTTCCTGCAGTAGAACTACCATGAGCACCTCCACCATCAGGAGAGTTTTCTGAAGGGCCCGAGCGGGGTGGGCATTGGGTATGAGGCACAAGCCCTCCTCTCTGGACGCTTAGAATCAAAGACAGACAACCCCCAAACACTGATCCATACTCTGTCCTTTCTCAGGAATCTCTGGCTTTTAACTGGGACCCAAGAACTATAATTGTAAGGAATTGAGAGGAGTTTTTTGGGGGCAATTTGACCCTGAAATCATTTCATGTGTTACTGGCCCAGGTGGCAGAAACAGGCCCTTGGGAAAATGTCCAGTATATACAGGAGAACTGACTATGGATAGTGGAAAAAACAGACTTTGGTGTCAGATGACCTGAACTTACATGTCGGCTTTTGCACACTAGTGGAGTAACCGCTAAGTTACTTATCTGCTATTGTTCATATAGGGGAAGTCAGGTGGGACCTCTCCTGATATGGGACAGATTTCTTGATGCAGCAACAGAGGAGTGGTGAGGGCTGGACTCTGAGGCTTGGAGTGAGAGGAAGAGGCTGCTTGTCCTAGTGGTGGGGACTGTGGGATGGGGTTTTCCCTTCCACGTCTGTAGCAGGTACAGGCAGGTCTTTCAGGCACCTGCTCAGGGACAGTAGGAGGGCCTTGATCTGTGGCCACAGATCACTACATTCTCAGGGCACAATATTGGAAAGGCGCCCTGGGTTTAGGGGCAAGCTGCTTGGGTCCTATGTTAGGTGACCATAGGGGTCAAGAACAAGCAGACACAGGTGACGTCCTTAGGCAAGTGTCACCTCTTGCTTTGCTCCAGGCCTCAAGACCAGGTCAGGTCACTCCTCCAGGCCTCCAGAGACTTTTCTTAACCTTTGCAGCAAGATAATGCCTGTCCTGCCTCATTCACCAAGTGTGCATTGGGACCCAAAGAGGTAATGCCAGTCCCCATGAAAGGACTTTGAAAAGCTGTTGAACAAACAGAGCGGGTTATGCTTGAGGTGAGGTAGGGAACTCTGGTTATTTCCATCTTGGTGGACATTTCCCTAACACCCTCTCTGTATAGTTGCCTGGGCTGGGACATGGCAGGGCCTCTGTGGTGCCTGCCAGGGTTCTGCTGCAGCCTCAGTTCTCAGGAAGCAGAACCATGGTCCCGGCCTATTTGGACTGAACAGAGCTCCATGTTCCATCCACACGGGAGAGAGAACAAGGAGCACTCATCATATTCCAGCCCCTGGGGAGCTTAGACTGCTCAAGGCCTGCTTCCTCAGCTGATACAGAGCAGGAAAGGGGGCTGCTCTTGCCTGGGGGAACTTGGGCAGTCGTGGGGAAATGGGAGGAGGAGCTCCTCCAGGTCTGGGGTGGCAGGTGGCCTTCCTGTTTATAAGGATGCTTGCTCTGTCGCTGCTCCCCTTCCCAATGCCTGCCTTAACACCCATGTTAACACTTCTTGCCCGAATGGGTTCGGGGAGGATTCAGTCTCTCAGCTATCTTGTGTGAGGAAAAACCAGGACATTATCCCCAGAGACCTAGCCATAGAGCATACGGACACTAGGAAGGTCCCTCAGGTCCTCCCTGATCCTCAGAGCTCTTAGGAACAGAAAATATTCCCCGTGAAATATGAATAAAGGACTGGATAGATACATCACTTGGAATACAGCTGACTTGGAACCATGATTTGTGTTCTAGATGTGCTAAGTGGCTCGAGGCAAGTGTGGGAGCAGAATAGAGAATAACAGGCAGAGGCTGTCCTGTGTGCTAGCCGCACGTTACAACTCTGTCTCACAACGCATGAGGCGAACTCTCTTCTTCTTCCATTATACAGGTGGAGAAATAGGTACAAGGAGATGGAGTGGCTGCCCTATATCGTACTGCTAGCTAAGCTATGCAAAGACTCAAACCCAGAGCTGAGACTCAAACCCAGGCAGTGTGGCTCCAGAGTCCCTGTTCACAGACACCTTGAAGCAATCACTTTACTGTTAGGCCCCTTCACCGCCATATCACTGAACTTGCTTTTGGGTGCCAGGAAGTGAAGTGAAGGGGTCTTCAAAAGCTATTCCCTTTATGTGCAAGGCCTTTGAGGGGTGGTTAGCATCAATCAGATCTACCTGGCTGAGCCTCTGGAGGCCTGAAGTGTGGACCAGAGAGGTGGTGCAGAGCAAGAGCAGGATGCCACCTTGCCGGACCAACAGGAGGCCCAGTCCCCTCAAGCTGTCCTTGGGGCTTTTCTACTCAACAAAGTTGGGACTTAACTCCTGCTTCTCACCAAAACCAAACTGGCCTTGTGCACTTTTTAAATCTCATGTCAGGTGAGATTGACCAGTGGAGACACTTGACTGTCCACCTCTGACACCACGATCGTCCTTTGGGGGCTTTGGGGAGGTATTGTAGGGAATGAGACACGAGGACCAGGACTGTGGATCAGAAGGCTTGGGGACGCTCCCATACTAGTTTCTTCAGAGCTGGGCACATAGAAAGCATTTATTCATGTCTTCCATAATGAGTGTCTAGGGTGTGTCAAGTCCTGTCACAGAAATTTAATCAATATTCCCTGAATGATAGTTGACCTTGGAAACAAGCCCAGCCTTTTTCTTTCCCTGGATAGACTGCACCTTCCTTTTGGCTGTCCACTCTCTGCTTACCCAAGGACACTGCCCATGAGCCCTTTGCTGTCTCTGGTTGGTTGAGCTCTTATCTCCAGACTTGGATGCCCTGCCCTTCTATCTCTGGTAGTTCTGGGCACTAGGACCCTGATCTTGGAACCCACCCCTGTGAGCAACTCTGTGGCAGGGGTGAGCAGAAGCCCCTTGCTCAACTACCTCTTTCTCAGGAGACCTGCTCCGGAGCCGTACCACATCCCTCCTCATCTTTGGTCCTCCAAAGGTTCAAACAGAATTCCTAAGTGTGAGTTTTCACCTCACTTACCCATCCCCACACCATCGCAAAGACTCTTACCTTGCATTAAGACGAGACAAGATCAATGATGAATAAACCGATTTGAAGTCTATTGGAAAAAAGAACAGAAGAACAGAAAGACAATATTGGCAGGAATAGGAAAAAAAACTATTTTTCTTTGTATTTAATTTTTTTTTCTTAAAATCCCTGATACTGAAATTGAGGCTTGAATTATAGCAGTTTTCTAGTTTCACTTTACCTCTGTCTTATACATTATGAGATTGAACTTTATAAAACGAGACAGAATTCAAGAACAGAATTTTCAAGAAACTATGGATTTTGGAAATTTGAGTTTCTTTTGCTAATCTCTTAGGGGTTCACAAATTCCTCCCTCTTCAGGGACAAAAGACCTTTGTCTACCAGAGATGACCAAGGTACAGAGGATATAAAAATATTAAGAATTATTTTTAACTTTAAAGAAATTGCTCATATCATTTAACTACTTGATTGATTGCCTTGATGGTATGACATCAAGAATTTCACGTACATTGGGATAAAATATGCCATGAATTCAATGAATAGAGAATGGCAAAGTGGAAGCAGTCAGGAAATGAGAATGAAAACAGTTCAACTTGAAACTTAAATGTTTAACAATTATATTTACCCAGAGTTTACTCATGGGACAGAATGGGATTCAGGAAATGACTTGCCTATGAAAGTGTGATGTCTACAAAAATTAAGCAACATGGGCAAATGGTGAAACTGTAATACTCAGTTATAAAAGTAGAATACGAGCTGGGTATATAACATGTTTAAGATGGTTAAAAACAAGACACTACCACAAAATGACAACCATCACTGTCACATATGCAGATGATAAGGGTAGGAGACAGAATACAAAGCACTAAAATGTGAATTTGCTTTAGCTGTATTTGGATGTTAGCAGATAGGGTGAGGTATTTCTACTTTTTTCAAATTTCCTTTTTTTGTTTTTTTGTTTTGGTTTAGGAGATTGAACTCAGGGGCACTCGGCCACTGAACCACATCTCCAGCTCTATTTAGTATTTTATTTGGTGACAGGGTCTCACTGAATTGCTTAGCGCCTCGCTTTTGCTGAGGCTGGCTTTGAACTCACGATCCTCCTGCCTCAACCTCCCTAGCCACTGGGGTTACAGGCGTGGGTCATTGTGTCCAGTTCATCTTTTTAAAGAGATGAGCAAGAATAGATTATTTCTTTGAAAATTAAGATAAGCACATAGCTTATTAAATAGAAACAAAGGATGAAAGGAGGATGAAAAGGAGAAGAGAAAGAAGTGATTGGGAGAGGAGAGAGAGCTGGGGAGACTGTCTTGGGTCTTGTTATTTCCTGTGGTCTTGGACTAGTCACATATCCTCTGAATCCAGGTCCTCATTTGTAAAGCAGGGATGGGGGATCATGGCTGGGAGCATCAAAGGAGATAGAATCTGTGAAATGAACCATACACACCCTGTGCCATTGGATTGTGTTGCCTGACCTTCCTTGGGATGGGTCACATGCTGAATACACAGCAAGAATCTGTAGAAAGTGGAGGCTGGATTTGCCCAGCCCTGGGTCACCAGCATCCCCCCTACCAGTTGCCAACTCAAATCTACAAATGGGAAGCCTTCCTGCATCAGAACTCAGCTGCCCCCCCCCCTCCAGCTTTATGAGTATTTCTTGCATCTTTCTTAATAGCTAGATTTCCTCCTGGGAATAGCAGTCTGGACATCAACTCTCAACTGGATTGACAATCGTGTCATAGCATTTAGGACAAACAGCAGTCAGAGGCTCCAGGAGGAGCTAGCAAAGGCAAAGAAAACCAAATCCAGCGTATTTTATGTTTCAAAGTACTATTAGGCAAAACCTTCATGAATCAAAATCAACATACTGTGAGGTCTCTTGCCAAGGAGCAGATTTCTCATTAGGAAGTTCTTGGGGTTTAAAAAAAAGTGTGTGTGTGTGTGGGGGGTCCTCCTCATGGGGTCCTTCCTCTTGACAGCATGTTCTGTGGCAGCAGGTAGGTTTACTCCTTCCTTCTGGCACCTTCCTTCTCGTGAGATCAGAAGAGTATTTTCACACCTTACAATTTTATGTGGTGTGGGAGATAACAGAGCATTTTCAGGTATATTATTTTATTTAATCATCCCAATTACCTTGTGAAGAAAGATGTTTTTGTGCATGGAGAAACTGAAACCCTGAGAAAGGAAAGGACATGCCCAGGTCATAAACCCCACCATGTGCTGGGTCTTCTGGTGCTGGTGCCACAGGGCTTGCGCTCACGTGCCACATCCAGTATTTGTAACCCCCTGGGGATGTCAGATAAATGTGACTATAGATTATTCAGTGGCAATTGATGCTGTATTTATATTTTAGTTGCACATCTAATTTTGTTGGATTTTTCCACAGCCATGGAAGAAATCATGTCTTTAGGAAAGAGACGGGTGGGGGTTGTTGGTCTGACAACTGGATTTGTGCAGAGTAATGGAATGACTAGAATTGACCTGCCACTGAGTAGAGGGTGGAGGGTGCAGATCCCTCTCATACCCTCTACACTATTTCTTGTCTTGTCTTTGGGTTATGTCCATTTCACAGGGTAGGGAAATGTTGCCAGGGAGTGTGGCTATTCAAAGACAACAGCAGGGGAATGATACTAATAATAGCTAACATTTACATAGGCTTAAAATGCTAAGTACCTGGCATAGCTCATAATGCTGTAGATAACTTGACCCCATTAATATTCATATACATCCAATAAGGTAGGTCTATTGCTATTGCTAATTTCAGTGAAGAAAACCAAGATACAGAGAGAGTAAGTGACTTGTCCAACTTCATGCAACTTGAAAGAGGGAGAGAGCAGGCATTCAAACCTAAGCAGTCAAACTCCAGAGATAGAAAGAAAAATGTGCCCATGTGGCAGACTCCCATCTGCCACTAAGTAAGCAAATAAAGGGCAATGATGCTCCCCCTTCACTGGCTGATCCTGTGGCAGACATTGCTAGTCAAGCACAGCACTCTTTCCTGCTGAGCCCAGATGGAGCCTCACAATCCTTCTCAACATAGTGATCCACCACTAATATCTGGAAACCAGCCAATCATAATGAGGGATAGGAGCCTATTTGTCTTCTCTAGGGAACATACTATAAATGCCAATTAATTCATGCAGTATGGAGCATTGAATCCATGGCTTTGCACATGCTACATAAGTACTCTACTACTGAGCTACATCCCCAGCCTTTTTATTTTGAGGCAGGGTCTTGCTAAGTTGCACAGGTCAGCCTTGAAATTGCAATCAACCTGCATCAGCCACTTGAGTAGCTGGGATTATAGGTATGCACCATTGTGCCCAGCCATATATATTTTTTAAAATAAATGTCTCTCTGTATGCTCATGTGTGGCCTTATAAAATGAATTTGATAATTTGATTCAATTTGCATGTATGGAACATCTGCTATGGGTCACGAAGGTGCTCTTGTTGGGCACTGAGATGCAAAACAAGGGAAAAACAAAGTTATATCTTAAAGATATTAGAAGAATATTCTACATAAAGAAACCTTGCTGGAGGGGCTGGGGTTGTGGCTTAGTGGTAGAGTGCTGGCCTAGCATGCATGAGGCAATAGGTTCGATCCTCAGCACCACATAAATGTAAAATAAAGATATTGTGTCCACCTAAAACTAAAAAATAAAAAAAAGAGAGAGAAACCTTGCTGGGGCTGGGACTGGGGCTCAGCGGTAGCACACTTGCCTGGCATGTGTGAGGCATTGGGTTCGATTGTTAGCACTGCATATAAATAAAATAAAGGTCTATCAACAACTAAAACAAAAACAAAAACATTTTTTTTAAAAAAGAAACCTTGCTATAAATTCTTTCAAAGAGTGAATTCTCTTGTAAGCCCCTTCTTAACCTGTTTTGTACAATCTGGCTTGGTACTTTGGGTTTGCATAGACCAAGGCATTCTTCCATGTACCTTTAAATCCATTTTAGCATTCCCCTACAGTTTTTTTTCAGTGCCTTTCCAATTTTTGCTAGCAGGCCATTTATTTTCAAAGCTTTTGCTTTATACACAGTTCCATTCACTTGACAGCATTGTATTTGTCCTGCTCTAGTGGGTAATATATTTACAAAGATTCAGCACATAGAGAGGACATGTTAAGAATGCTTGATTCATACTGTGCAAGAGAAAAACCCTGAATGCTATTTTTCAGTATTAGAATTGCACTTGGTACTTGAACAGTGGGGATATTAGGATCCCAAGAGGGAGCTTAGTTGTAGAGGCACACCGAAAAGAATTTCCCAGCAATAGAGCAATTACCTCTCCAATACAACAACTCAACTTTCATGAAGATAGTAGGAATGGAGAATGATACATATGATTAGACAAAAAAGGATAAAGGTAAAATATCTGCTGAGAACGCCCAGCTTTTTGTGTGTGTGGAATCAGATTTTTAGGACTAACTATTCAAGCTGCTTGGGATGTTTGCAGTAGGTAGCGGAACTGATGCAGAAGAATAGTTTAGTTTTACTTCTAGTTTGACTTAAGCTGATACAGATGGCCTGGAACTAAAGCTTCTGTACCTTGTTGGATATGGCCATGTAGTCACGACATCAAGGTGAGACACCCCATGCACCTCTGTGAATCCCATTAACCACTGCTGGTGAACAGCACAAGGGGGAAGTTGCCAAATGGTGAAATTCTACTCAAGGAAGTAGTGCCAATTGCAGAGACAGCCCTGGGATAAGAGGCATCACTCCAAAGTCAAATATTCAGCTGCATCGAAAGACTATTCTTTCTGGGGGTTTGAATGGGCACCCTGAGAAGCATAGTAGGGTCTTTATCAGGGTCTTTTGATCTATTATCAGATGGTAGGAAAGTCTTCTAGGAAATAATTAGAGACCATTGAAAAAACTTAGTTATATGTTCACCAAAATGCTGTTTTACAAAAGTAACAATAAGATCAGAAACAATGAGTGGTCGATAATAGGGGATCAATTGGAAATATTGTGACTTAGTCTGGAAGGAAGTGGGGGAGAAGAGGTGGAGAAGGATGGTTATTGGGTACAGAGGTCCTTTGGATAGGAAGAATAACTTTTAATGTTCCATAGCACAGTAGGTTAACTATGTTCGACAACAATTCACTGAATATTTAAAAGTAATTAATAGAGAGGATTTTGAAGGCTCTCAACACAAAGATGGGACAAATGTCAGAGCTGACAGATTCGCCAATCACCTCGATCTGATCACTACACATTGAATACATGCATTGAACTGTCACGTTGTACTCCATAATTATGTACAATTATTGAGTTAATTAAAAATAAAGATTAAAAAAGAAAAGTAAGCTAAATAATACTAAAAATTTAAAATATAAAATTATATTCATATAAATACATACGATTTATTTATGACCACAGCATATTAGTATATAAACAAAGGAACGTTAAAAACTGGTTAAAACACTATAATAAAGTTTGATGCAGCTGGGCTTGGTGGCTCATGCCTGTATTCCCATTGGCTCAGGAAGCTGAGGCAGGAAGATTATGAGCTCAAAGCCAGCCTCAGCAACTTAGCAAGGCCTTGTCTCAAAATAAATATTAAAAAAGTGGGGCAGAGGATATGGCTCAGTGGTTGAGTGCCCCTGGGTTCAATCCCTGGTACAAAAAACCCCCCTCTGATCCATATACATACATATGTTTATATATATATCTCCACCTTTATTAACCTGGTAACTGAGAAAGGAATAAAATATCACTAGTCAGTAAATTATACTGAGGAGGTAGAACCAAAGTGTGAAAAGTGATTATCATCTCTGATCAATGGTAATTTCTTTCTCTCTTTCTTTCCTTTCTTTTAAAATTTATACTATATTCAGTATCTAAAACACCCACAATGAATGGGTACAATAAGGAAAAGATAAAAATTATCTTTTTTTTTTTTTAAACAGGCACTTTATTTCATGAGGTCTCCCCGTCTTGGGCACAGTGCTTGGGGCATGGCTGTTGGAGTTGTGAGAACTTTGCCTATAAGAGTCTTCCTACCTGTCAGCACCATGGACAGAGTTAATAATTTGGGCTTGGTTGCCTCTGGGGCTTGTTCTTTCTTCCAGGAGTGACCATCTTTTGAGAGGGCTGCCTCCAGATACTTACCCACTTCTAGATGCTCTTCTTTATAAAGATACTGTTAGATACTGTTTCCCTTCTAGACGTTTTTCCTCCTCTAGATATTCCCTCCCCTCTGGATACTCACCCTGCCCCAGATGCTTTTGAAATGGATGTGCTTTTCTCAGATTCTCTCCTTTAAACACGTAGTCTGTTATGTTTATAAACTTGTCTTCCTCTAGATACTCTTCCTCCTCTGTGGACTCATATTCCTCCAGAGCGTCTTCCTCCTCCAGATAGTCTTCCTGCCTTGAATGCTCTCTCTTCTCCAGATACTCTTCCTTTCCTGGGTAATGTTTCCCTTTCAGAGACTTTTTAGTTTTACCAGGAGTAGATTTATCCCTCAAACTCTCCCTATCTAACTCTACCTTGGCATCTTCTTTTGCTGAAGGGAAGTTCTGTGTGGGAAATCCAGACGTTGTGGGAGAGGGAGGAGACAAGTCTCCTGACACTGAATTGTTTTCAGAAGACATGTTGGAGAAGCAGCAGGTGAAGTCACTTTACCACCCTGGGAACAAAGAAAGGAACAGAATCCCATTAGTTGGTAATAGCTAACTATACAGAGATTTAATCCACTTGTTCTCTCATTTCATTTGGGAGTCTTTAAATATCGTGACTCTTGAGAAGGGACAAAAATAGAACTTCCAGAGCCTTTACCCTCAACGAGCTGATGGGGAGGCCACAAGTGGAGGCAAAGACTTTGCAAATACTGCATCATATGACGTCAACAAGGAGGACCAGAAAGTGAAGAAGTGATGGGCACTTTAGAGTTGGGCAGTGTGACTATTAGAGAATATGAATATTTATTAGTCAAGAAATATTTATTGTCACAATAGATAAGACAGACTCTCAGGAGCTTGAATTTTGAGAGGAAAAAGAGTCGTGAGAACAGATGTCTAAACCCAAAGTGACCAGCACCAGCAGGCTGGAGTAGACACTGTGGGTGGGGCCCCTGGTCATTTAGGTCTCTGTGGTTGGAGGTCAGCAAGGCTCATTTTCACAGCTCCTATATATGCTGTCATCTCTGCTAGAAGTCCCCTCTCCCGTCTCACTGGGCAAAAACTTAAGTTTCGTCCCCCACATCTTGACTCCTCCAGGAAGCCTTCCAGGATCCACCCTATGCCCATCCACCTGGGCCTTTATTTTTATTGAAGTAATCATTTTGTTTTTCCAGCAGTGGGAACTTCTCAAAAGCAGGAAGGGCTGATTCTTTTTCAAAAATGCATTTTGCATTCCCCTCTGCCTCCCCATCTCTACTGTGACTCTCCACAGTGACCAGAGCATTTCTAGTCTGGATTACTGAGCTTCCTGAGACCACTGCCACCACCTTGCTAGTTGTTCTCCATGGAAAGTCTTGTAGAAATACAAACCATACCAGGCCTTCCCTTGCTTAGCCTTCCAGACCCCCCCCCCCCCACCACACACACACAGCAGCTCTCTGTTGTGCTTAGAATATAATGAAAGCCATCCCATGCCTTGTAGGGCCTTCCTGTGTCTCTGACCTCTTGTCTTCCAAACCTTCCTCCCTGCCCTGTCCGAAATTCTCACCTGCAGCACTTGTCACTTGTCTAATTATGTATCTATTTCTGTGTTGACTTATTCGACCTCTCTTTCACTAGGCATGTGTCTGTGTCTCAATGACAGTGAACTTGTATAACTTGTTCTCCTCTCTACTTCCTGTGGTTGTTGGCCTGGAGCCTGGTGTATAATAGAAGTCCAGTAACTCTATGGCCAGTGACTGAAGGAAGGGCCATCATGTGGGTCCAGAGCAGTGCATCACAAAGTTTTAAAAATAACCTTTATTTTTCACAGTGGGATTAAGCTAACAAGACTGTTCCTTGTGGAGGCAAGAGTTCTGAACAGATAGGTGTCTTGGCCTACTTTTCCTGGCCAGTTGGGAAGTTCTGTTCTAGGGAATCATTCAGAGGACATCTCCAGGATCACTTCTAACATAAGCAGTGTGATGTTCAAGATGAGGATGCAATGGGCCAGGGCATTTATCATAGGCCAGTGGGCACATCTGTCCACCCACAGTGTTGTTAGAGCCCTTGGACAGATTCTGCTGGGATCAGCTGGTGTGGTGAACACAAAGGTGCTCTACTCAGACCTCTTTTCAAAGAAGGATTTGCTGCCCAGCTGTGGGGAGTATGGTCAGCAGACAGCTCCTGCAGGGTGTGCCTTGGCTACAGTGTCTCTTGCTAGAAGACTGGTCCTTCTTGGATGGCCCGTCTCACGTCATGACTGAGGAAGGTGGATATGAAAGCCCAGTCAGCCCAGGTGGGATGCCTGAGAGGCAGAACTCACCTAGAGCTGCCCAGCAGGCTGGCAGAAGCTTATCAAGTCTGCACCACAGGGACCATCCCTGGGCCCAGTCCTGCTGCTGCTTCCTTTCTCAGGGGTTGAGAAATGTTTTGCATCTCAACAGGTTGTATCTCCCCTATTTGCACCTTACAGTCTATTTCTAGAGAATCTGCCCTGTGACCAGCGGCTCTAGAACCTTTTCCACTTTAAGGGAAGCTGCTCTAGTCTTATTTTCACTTAAAACTTAAACACACCATCTATTATTGCCATTCACGTCTAACTTACCCTCAGTCTCCATGCCTTCCCCACAAGCCAGCGCTGGGATGATGCGAGGAGTTGAAAGGGGTGACAAGGATTCTTTGCTTGACCACACTTTTATCAGGCTCTTGAACCTGCTCCCAGGCAGGCCCATCTGTGCACTTCCTTATAAAAACCAGTTGTACCAAGAACACTGCTAAGTCAGTTAAGCAAGAACTCCGCCCCTCCTTATCTATATGCAATCACCCTTGATGATAATCTGATCAGGTTCCTCACCTCCCACTATCCCCCAGGTGACGTTTGACCTCCCTGGTTTGTCTTTAATGAGAATGCTGTCAGAACTGCATGCAGTGGCATCTGTCTGTAATCCAAGCTACTCTGGAGGCTGAGGCAGGAGGATGGCAAGTTTGAGGCCAGCCTGGGTAATATATGGAAACCCCCTCTCAAAATAAAAATTAAAAAAGGGCTGGGATGTAGCTCAGTGGTAAAACAGCCATGAGTTCAAGCCCTAGTATGATTAAAAAAAAAAAAAAAAAAAAAAAGAAGGAAGGAAAGGAAGAAAAATGCTGTCAGATAAGTTTAACCAGAATTCCCTCTCTTGATGCTCCTTCTTAATCTTCCATCCATTCTCCTGGCATCTTTTTTTTTTTTTTTTTTTAATTTTTTTAAGTTATACATGGACACAATATCTTTATTTTGTTTATTTATTTTTATGTGGTGCTGAGGATGGAACCCAGGATCTCACACATGCAAGGCGAGCTCTACTGCTGAGCCCCAGCCCCAGCCCCAGCCCCAATTCTCCTGGCATCTTGATGTACATTTTTACTTAGGGGTCCCACTCAGCTCCTTGGCTATAAATTCCTACTCGCTCTTGCTGCATTTAGAGCTGAGTCCAGTTCTGTACTGAGGTCTCCTTTCTCCTACTGCAGCAGTTCTGAGTGGATATTTACTGCTTTAGTGGCTGTTCAGTTTGGTTTTCTTTGAAGGCCACACTCTGGGATGTGAGAAGATCATGCGTAGGCACCTCCATTCCATCAAAGGCTTACACTTCAGGGCTTCCCACTTTTCAGATATTTTAGTTGCTTAAGAGATCAGAATCAGCTGTTCTTCTAGACAGCCCAGATTGCCTGTCAACAGCATACCATCATTCAGGGTTAGAAGCCTTTTCTTTCCATATTCTCCTCAGGCCTTGTAAAAGAGGATCTAGTCAGCTTCATTCTCATATCAAAGATCAGAAAACAAACTCCCTTCTAGACACCTTCCCTTTAATTCTTCTAGAAATTTCTACAAAAAGCCTATAGGCAGAAATAAATAGTAAGAGCAACCAGATACCCAGTGTCTGAGGCAAACATTAGCTCTGACTTGTGATTCAGATCTTGATCCATTTTGATCATAGTTTCTGACAGATTGCAGGTTAATTTCTGTGGTTACAACCGGAAAAGCAACTTTATGTTGAATAACTGCAGCTCATTCATTTTCATTTTTTTTGACCAGCTTCCCAAGACGGCCGCCTCCATCCAATCAGGCTGGCAGACATTTTTATTCAGTTTAAATAATGCTTTTCTAAAAATTGGAAGCATCCGCGAAGTCTTGAGGTCTTGGCTTCTCTTGGAGACAGCATCAACTCTGGGCTGAGTTTCCCATAGGGATGAAATGAATGGTGTGTGCTCTTTCCATTTCTGCCTCTGTCCTGCCACGGCCTTGGTTGGTCAGTTAGCAGGCAGGCTTGTTATCACACAGTCCTGTTGTGTTTCTTATGGTAGAGCAATAGTTCTCTGTTCCCAAATCTCTACCAAAGGTGAGGAAACAAAAGACACATGAAGAGGTCGGATTCTTTTTTCCCTTTACTTACTCATGCATTGGCTTCTCTTTCCGGCCCCTGTCGGGAGGTGGGACCTTTGCTCTAGGCTGTTGGTTTGGTGGTGGTAAGTGCCATGTTCATACAGCTCACCACCAAATACCTACCCATGGTCACTGTGAGACACGAAGATGTGCAGGTTCTTTGTTGTGAACTTGGAGAATGAAATCCATGGACATGAAGGGTGAGAGCAAAGTAACAGCAAGAAAACAGGGCTCCCATAGGGGGAGGGGTCCCAAGAGGACTGGGTGTCTATCATCTAGGGGCTTATATTGGTAACCTTGGAGGGGTGTTAGGTGACCTTGAAGACCACAGGCTTAGAGATTTTTAAAGAAGTGGGTCTTTAAGTCCAGTCACACCAGGGTACCCGGTGTTTATGCACCTCCTGTCCAATCAGGATGTTGATTTCATGCCACTTCGCCTCAGGGTTTTGGCACATATGTTCAGGCTCCGATGGAGTCACTGGCCATGAGCTGTCTACTCCATTTGTGGTCAATGGCAGAAGTGCGGAAGCAAAATGCCACCTAAGGAGGTCTGCCTAACGTGTTTCTATTTCCTGCTCTCAGTAGTATAGTGCTGGGTATGTAACAGGTTCTCATTAAAATCTTCCAAAAGAATAAATGAACAAATAAAGAGAGTATTAATCATGTGCTTTGGGCTTTGCCAAGCTTACTTACTGATGATGTGTATATGCTTATTTAGTGAAGTGGGTAAAGCTTTATGTCAAGGTCAACATACTTCCAGAAACCTTCCACACTGCATAGTAAATGAGAGGCTGACAGATTTCCACAAGGTGAGGTTTATTTCTAGATCTCATTTTTTATTCTAAGGTGAACATGCTTAGTTGAAATAAATGAGGAAGACAGAAGTAGATGACAAGTAAACAAACAAAACAGAACACTCTCTCTGCAAATGAGAAGAGGAAGGGTAATAGGTTCCAGCTGAGTAGGACTCCATGTTCTGGTTGTGGTTATCAAGGCAAAGGAGCTACCAGGGCCTGTCTCTCTCCTCTGGTTTCTGTGAATGGAGGGCAGTGCTGTCCTCAGTTCTTCTATC